GGGGGGGGGGGGGGGGGGGGGGGGGGGGGGGGGTGGATGTATTATTCACCATGTTTCTTATCAGGAAGGATACAAACAAATGTCTGCCGGAGTTTTCTTGTAGAAGTAGTTAGTCAATTGAAAGAGTGAATGGACAGTGATTTAATGTAATTGATGCTTCGTAATTTACAACTCTAGTGTTACAAAAGTGCTCTTCAACACATACCTACGTACCACATACCATGTCATGGCAGCAGCAGCAGCAACAGTAGCAAGTAACCAGCAAGTCACTAGGGCAACAGGGTATCTATCAGGCATGCTTCAACATCCATACACAAATGCCGCATAGTACAAAAGCAGTCTAAACCCGTTCATGCGTTCACGCCCATAACCCGTCTATCTACCAAATCACCGCCGTCTTTAGGTCACGTTCTTTTCTCGAAAAACGCCCCCTAACACCTCACCGTCAATGGCTGATTTGGATCACTCAGCACACACGAGCTCGGTTCTTGTCGGTCAGATGGACATGCCGCATGTCCAATTTCAGTACACTCATCCTGTTGCAGGTTCCATTTCCATCATCTTTGCCTTCTTGCGGGACTGGTGGACGACAGTCTTGCTAGTGTTCGTGGGCTCCGCCACCTCATCCATCGGCGTCATGACCTCGGAAACGGTATCGGGGGTGTCCTGCGCAAACGTGGGGCTCGGTCCAGATTCTTCTTCTCCTTCTTCGAGGAGCCAGGCGGCATACCGCGATTCAATCTTGGCGCGCTCATTCGCAGTGAGTTTGGCATCGTTGGGGTCGGCTTGCATGCGTTGGATGCAGTGCGGGCATTCGACGAAGTATGCTTGGGCATTTTTGCCAAAGTTGCGCATTTCGAATTCGGGCAATGTGTCGCCTACGAGCGTGACCGTGTCCCAGTCGAGGCAGTCCTCGCAGAAGCCATTCTCGCACCAACGGCAACGGTAGATCATGCCTCCCACGTCGGTCGTCTTTCCACCGCAGTCGCGGCACTGGTGTTGTGGGCAATGGAACTGCAACGTAGACCGCATCTTCGCTCGCCAATCTCTGTCGAGACATAGCTGATGGTAGGCTCGGGGACAGGACGAGCAGGTGTGGACCTCTCCGCCCATCCAGCAGCATTGACAAAACTCTTGATGCTGAATCGGTGGCTTCTTCTCCTTCTTGAACTCTGCCAGGCGAGGATCTTTGCCTGCGAGCGTCGGCACCGCTTCCCAATCTGCACAGTTCAGCGATATCTTGTTAATCATGAAGCCGTCAATCTCCACGGTCGTATTCTTGCCCGCTCGACGATCGGCACGATTCAGGTCGACGGTCTTTTCGATCTTTTTCTCCAGCTCTTTGTCGTGCTTCTTGCCTTCGAAGATGGCGCACTCTACTCTCTCCATCGTGTTCAGCCACTTTTGCTCGTCCACTTCTGCAACTTCGCCGTTGGCGCCTACAACCAGGGGATCCAGCGGTTTGTCCTTGCAATTCTCTAGTGTGGTTTCCCAGTCCCAGGACAGGAGTTCATCCACAGGGACTTCCGGTCGTGCCAGAGTCTGTGCACCACGTCGAAGCAGAGACTGCAGCGAGGCGGTGTCGAGGTGTGGCGCGTCATCGTCTACAGCGGTCGCCCGACCACTGATCTGTCGCTTTCGCTTTTTCTCCGGTGAGTTCCCGGTATGTATGTTCTGCATCGACTCCGTGATCTTGGCCGAGAGGTAGAGCTTCTTGCGGATGCGACCCATCATTTGCTCTTCTACCGTTCCTGAAGTACACAGCTTGTAAATGGTGACTTTCTGAGTCTGCCCAATGCGGTGAGCCCGCGCTTCAGCCTGCAGGGTGACCTGAGGGTTCCAGTCTTCGTCCAAAAACACCACATCTGTGGCGGATGTCAAGTTGATGCCAAGACCACCTGCTCGCGTGGAGATCAGCATGACCTTGTAATCGCTGTCCATTTGGTTGAAGAGACGGATGCTCAGATTACGTTGTGCACGGGATGTGCTTCCATCCAGTCGAGCAAACCGGAATGAGCCTTGACGGGTGTTGGCTCCCTTGTTGTGCAACAGCTCTTCGCAGAGATTGAGCATTCTGGTGAATCCGGAGAAGATGAGGACTTTCTTGCCTCTCTTGATGCACAACTCTTCAATCAGCTTGTCCACCACGATGAACTTGCTGGACGCATTCTTGACGTGGTCGCCGATTTCGTACTCCAGCGGTGCCGCCCCCGACAGCAGGTAGGGGTGGGCGCATGCCTTCCGCAGCTGCATCAGCAAGTTCATCAGTTTCTTCCATGTGTTGCTCTGCTTGTTGGTATTTTGGTCCTTGACTGCTTGCTCCATAATGGCCTTGGACTCGGCCCATACACCTGCGGAGCCGTCGTTTTCGGCCTTTGCCAAGGCAGCTCCGGCGTCTTCGAGCAGTGTGAGTTGAGGATCATTGCCGTCTTGCGCCAGGGCTTGCGCCTCCTTGTCTTGCGCACCTGCGAACAGGTCGGACAAGGTACTCGTATCCGTCCGAGTGATCAATCTGGTGTACCACATTCGTTGGATGGGTGTGAGCGGCAGGTATAGTAGAACTTCTTCCTTGGGAGGAAGACCAAGGTTGACTCCAGGGCTGGATTTCATACGGCGAAGCATAATGAGCTCCAAGAGTCGGCGTGCATCGTCCATGAACGAGGTGGAGACGGTGCCTTTGCTTAGGTCAAATGCCTTCCGAAACGCGTCGGCCGTGTCCTTGGTGAAGACGTCGGGGAAGAGCCAGTGCAGTAGTGCCCAGGCCTCCTTCAGGTTGTTCTGCAGTGGTGTGCCGGTGAGAAGAAGGCGGTATTCGGCGCGCAAGCTCTGCAAGGACATGGCAATGTCACTCTTGTCATTTTTAATCTTGTGTCCTTCGTCGAGGACACAATACCGCCATACAAATGCTCTCTTGAACCAGTTGGCCTCGGCACAGAAGTTTTCGTATGTGGTCACAAAGAGGTCAATACGATCACCGGACGGATCTCCATTGTTGTCCTTTCGAGACTTGCGGCTCAGCGAGTCTCTCTTGATACGCTCGCGCTCTGACTTGGGGCCATGGAAGCGCACCACATTCAGTGCTGGCGTCCATTTCTTGGCTTCTGCCATCCAGGAGGACAGTACAGAAAGAGGACAGATCACGAGGTTGGGACGGTACTCGCCAGTGGTCGGCTTGTTCTCGATCAGGTACTGGAACAGGGACAAGGTCTGCAGAGTTTTGCCAAGACCCATCTCATCCCCTAATATGGCCGACATGCCATTCTCGTACATATGAACAAGAAACGAGAGTCCTTGAAGTTGATATGGTTTCATAGTGGCTTCGATCCCTCGAGGCTGACTGGTGAGTTCCTGGTATTCGACGCACGATTGTGTACTTTCGCCTTGATTGTGTGCAAGTTTGGCAATGTAGTTGTTTTCCGGTAGCAAAGGCTGGAAAAAGTCGTAATGCGCCAACAAGAAAGCATCGCGCTTGGGCTTGGTGTGGAGCTCAATGTCCAGACGCACTAGGTTACGAGCAGTCTCGCCAGGCACCGTGGAGGCGGTATCTGACTTTAAGAGCCGCTTCGTGACCTTGTTGGAAGATTTGTTCTTCTTCATAGGAGGAGGCTGTAGACTCCGGGTATAGCTCACGTTCTGTCGTCGTGACCTCGCAGGCAGATCTGGAGGAGGGACCCAGGTGCCTAGTTATGTTAGCCGCAAGCAAGGGGAGTCGAGAGAGAAAATGCTGCTACTCACCACCAATCGTGTCATCGTCGACCAGCTCATCCTCGGTGGCGGCTGCCACCTCTTCGGCCTCATCGCCGTCGAAATTGGATGCGGTGCCTGGCGAGGTGATGGCCGATGGGGGCGACTCGGCGTAGGACACATTTGCTGCACGTCGCAGGCGGAGGCCGCGCTCAGGGGTGCGATTCATGGCGCTGACGGAGGTGCGCGACTTGCGTGCGCCAAAGTCGGAGAGCAGTGCAGCCAATTTGCCTGGTGAGGGTTTGGGCACGACGGGCACCAGCTTGCGGCGCTTGGGCAATGGAGTGATGGACAGCTTGTCGTCGTCGTGATCGTCGAGGTTGTCCTGGTCGTCGTTGTGGTCGGCGCTGCTGAGCCGGGCCATGATGACTCCGGAGAGGGTGACAACGTCTTGGAGGCGGGAGAGAGAAATGTTTGCCGGGTCCGCATGCGGCGTTGTGTGTGAAGTGGTGGAAGACAGGGATGAAGGTCGACGGAAGTTTGTTGTGAATATCTCCCAATGCGTGGCGAAGATGCGGTCGAGGGGGGTGACCGTCGATACACACCGGCTCACGATAGTATTCTCGTCGTCACGGGAACAGCAGCTCGGTTATCCAGTCATCCGGTCTACGCTGTTATATACCAGTAGGTAAGGTGTATATCAGACACACTCGCTCATCCGCCCCAGCTGAAGTTGCCACTGCCATTGGTAATAATATCAAGTGCAAAAGACGCCAATACCACACGTCGCGTCGAGACGCGTCCCTCGTTTCGCGATCTGCACAGGGATCTCCCGAACCGGAACCAGACTAGCGTGACGACGCCAAGACTCATCTTCAGCCTCAAAGCTCTACCTCTACCGGACCTTACATAACCTGATCGGCGCTACATAAACTCAATGCACTGCTAATACACATCCTCGAGTGAATATCTACCTCTTATACCTCCCAGCCTTCACTCTCGCCATGACAACCGAATAGAACAACACGGCGGCATCGCAGGAGCGCAGCGCAGCGCGAATGCGGCACCATTCATCACCTCCGCTTCCCCCACCCTCCGCACCGAGTCGTCGAGAGCAGTCGCCATGGCCCGCTTCTATCCCGTCTATGCGCGTCGCAGCGATGGCAAACAGGAGGTGGTGGGCAAGGGCAGGAGGAAAGAGATGAATCAGCCGACCGACGATCAGCTCGACCAGAAGCCCGATAAGAACGGCATCGCTGACTTCTACCGCGAAGTACTGCCAGACGAGCAGAAACATATTGACTGGCGGCGCAAGCTGGGTGGAATGCTGGCGCGAGAGCTGCAGGCTCAGGACACGTCTGGAGGTGGTGAGTATGTGGTCGACCAGATGGACCGACTGCGCGTCTCCCGTGCTGATGGAGCGACAGAAACGGGCTACCTGTTAGTCGCATTGCCGGAGAACTACCGCCTGTTTGAACACGTGAAAAAGACGGAACAGAATGGCAAGACGGAGCTGAAGAACAAGACGCACACTGGTGGCCAGAACGACCGACAGGATGCATACCTCTATGGCCACCCCGCCGGCCGCAAGAAGCGCTTCCGCAGCCCCAACGACTTCTTCCCTCATCTGCTATGGCTCAGTACCGACGAGAGTGGAGACCCGGACAACTGCTCCTGCAAAATCTGCTCTCCCGAGGAGCTGGAGAACATCGTGCCGGGTGCAAAAACCAGAGTGGAAAGACCGGGCAGGACGGACGCAGAATCGCCAGCCTTAGTAGCGGCGAGGCCGGTGAGTGGACAGGGCGTCAAAGCTCCTCCACAAGGACATCGACCTCCGCAATCGCAACCACCACCAACACAACATCAATCACCATCGCAACAGCACCCACAACCGCAACTGCAACCACAACGACCCACTCCTACGCCGCTGCCCCCAGCCAAAACACAAAATCAAAGCCTGGATCGCACATATGGCAACTTCATGTACCGCGCGGGAGAGCTGGTCTGGTTCTCGCGTGGTCAAGCGTGGGGTATTGGAGTCGTCACCAGACGATGGGCTCACACCGAAACCTCATGCTACTCCATTCAGCCACTCTCGTACCCTGGCAACACTCCACAGCTCACCGTCAAGCAAGGTCATAAGGAGATTCGGCCATGGCTGGCATGGAGCGTGCCAAGGTTTCTGAATGTGGCACTGAACGATCAGCCCAATCCCCCGCGATATGAGTCAGCGGACTGGCAAGGCATCATGCAAAAGAAGTACGGGAATGGAGACTTGGAAGTGGATGGCTCTATCATGGCTGCGAAGATGGTCGATGCAGCGTACACATTGATCGACAAGAATAGCAACACCCGTCCGGAACCCAATGTCGTCGAGACCCGTTATGACGGCATGTTTCTCGGCGCGGAGAAGATCTGGTGCGGCGAACCTGTTCGTCTGCAAATTGGCTCAGGCACAGACACTGCAGTCATCACTGCGATCGTGGAGCGACAGCGCCTTTCGCCTGCCAATCAACAAGTCACACAACAGGCAGTATACCTGGTTGGTGACATATACTCCTTGGCCACGATACAGCACAACAATCCAACGATACCATCCCCAGCGGACACCAACCCTCACCTACCAGAACGGATGGTCAAGGACCTCCGGATCCGAAACGCGCAGTCCATCAAGACTCGACGCATCGCCAGTTACTGGAAACTGATGAGCGCTCAGCAACGAATCGACCTCCACGACATCAAAGGGCGTTGGTACGAAGCCAGCATCATCATGCCTATCCTCCATCCCCAGATCTGGGTCAACGCTCTCACCAAGGGTGAAGTACAAGAGGCCTCACTCTGGATGAACAGTCGAAGCGACTGTTTGAACAGCAATCGCGACGACAAACTCCCTCGCATTCCTCGCGAAAACAATCGCAAAGCGACTCGCCGCGACGCATTCGGACATTCGATTCCTCCTGGCACGACGATTGAAGATGGCGTGCAACCTCCTGTTCCGGACAATGTCGACCCGGGTCTCTCTGCTGCTGCTGCAGCAGGCCCCATGGACCACCATATCGAAATCGATCCCCGGTTCGAGACTGCTGATGGCGCTGGTAATGCCAACCATCCTGTAGGGGTAGACTCTGGAACGACGGGTTTGGAAGAGTTTATGGACCTCGATGGTGGATTCGGGGAGGTAGGTGACTTTGTCGGAGGAGTGCATCATCATGATGCCAACCATGGCTTTTTCTAGCTGGAATAGAGTAGTATCAGAGAGCATTGCGCCCAGGGACTACCATGTTAATGTGATACGGGGATGTGGTTCGCATTGTAGAATAATGTCGAATGCAGCGAGATAGATCGTCAGAAGACACAGCTCGACACTCCAAGATAAGAAAAAAGAGGACAACTCAATCCTCATCATCATCTGCGTCTTCCTCATCCCGATCTTCAATTCCCCCAATCATACTCAACCCCTCCATCCCATCATCATCCTCCTCCTCCACCTCCATCTCAGCCTCACCTACCAGCAAGCCCTTCCTCCTCCTCCTCTCCTCCCTCTCCACCCTCCTCACCACCTCCCTCGCCCTCCTCACCGCCTCCTCCTCACACTTTTTCACCGTCCCACTAACCCTCACCACCCGCACCACCACCACCCCTTCCTCCTCCATCATCCCTCCCGGCGGCTTCGTCACCGACAAGGGAGGAAGAGGAGAAAGTCTCGTCACAAAACTCAAAGCAGCCCACACCATTCGATAATTCGCTCTCGCAACTCTCACAATCGCAGTAGATGTCGCTGCGCTGCAGTATTTGATTTGTAATGAAGAGGCAATTTGACCGGACGCGAGCTCGCCGAAGAGTGTGCTGAGGGAGTCTTTGATGAGTTTGAGGAGGAGGGGTGGGGTGAGAAGTTTGTCGGGCGTGGGACGGTGGAAGGTGAGAGGGCCCCAGGGGATGGGGGGTGCTTGTTCTTTGGAGGAGTTGGTGGTTTTGTTGGTGGTGGATGTTGTTGGGTTGGGGTGGAGGATGTGGAGGAGGAGGTAGCGGTGCTTGATTCGGACCATTGTTGTGATTTTCTGTTTGGTTTTCTTCTGGTTTCAACCTTTTTCGTGTGTGATTGGATTACGCTTGGTGTTGGGGACGAGGGGCATAGTCTTGGTTTGATACTGTGACTTTAATCGCTTGTTATCCCAAATACATGTCGGTGGTGTTGTTGTTGTTCATATTGTCTTGGAAGAACATCAGAGATGATGAAGTGTGGCGATGCCGCAAGGATTAGAGGAAGTCAAAATGCGCCGGAACTGGGTCCGCTGAATCTACATAGAAAAAAGTCTCGAAGTCGACTTTGGAATTTCTGAATTTCTACAATTTGTGAACCACGCACACGAACAACCATGTCGGACTCTCGATTCGACGCACTCCAAAAGGACCCTCGCTATCGTCTTCCATCACGAAAAGATGCGCGCACGTCGGTTGATCCGCGCTTCAAAAGTCTCTTGACAGACCAGGAATTTCGCAAAAAGGCCCACGTCGATCGTTATGGCCGCAAAATCAAGCTGGACAGCGAGAAGAAGCACGACAAGAAGAAGTCAAAAGTAAAGGAGCGAGAGGTGGTGGGAAGCAGTGAGGAAGAAGACAGCGAGGCAGACAGTCATGAGAGTGACGAGGAGGAAGAAGAAGAAGAGATCACGAAAACTAGAGATCCAGCCCGTGATGGAGGTTTTGACGAGTCCTCGTCCAGCGAAGAGGAGACTTCAGATGAAGAAGACAGCGATGTGGAAGAGGCAGACGAGGAGGCCGACTTGGCCGATGCGACTGCGGGACAGGAACAGACTGAGGACATTCCCATGGGCGAAGTCACGAAGCGGATTGCCTGCGTAAATCTGGACTGGGACAATATCCGCGCTGCGGATATCATGGCCGTGGCGAGCAGCTTCTTACCTGCGAGTGGGAAAGTCGAGAGTGTCATAGTGTATCCAAGTGAGTTCGGGAAGGAGAGATTAGAGAGGGAACAGCTGGAGGGCCCGCCGAGGGAGATTTTCGCATCGAGTAAACGAAAAGTAGAAGAGAAGGAGGAGGAGGAGGAGGAAGATGTGGAAGAGGAGGACAGCGAAAGTGAGGATGACGAGAAGGTCAAGGAGAGGTTGTTGAAGCAGCAGGCGAGCGAGGGAGAAGAGTTCGATACTGCAAAGCTGAGACAGTACCAGCTAGAACGGCTCCGATACTACTATGCCGTGATCGAGTGTTCAGACGAGGGTACATCCAAGCTGCTTTACGATGCGATGGACGGGCGGGAATATCTGTCGACGTCCAACTTCTTCGATCTGCGCTTCATTCCCGACGACACATCCTTCGACGACGACGAAGTACACGATGAGTGCTTGCAGCTTCCACAAGGATACAGACCAAACGACTTTCGAACAGAAGCACTCACACACTCAAAGGTACAACTCACATGGGACCAAGACGATGCCACTCGCAAAGAGGTTCAGAAACGGGCTTTCTCGCGAGCCGAAATGGACGACAACGACATGCAAGCATACATTGGCTCCGACGACAGCGACGCAGACAGCACTTCCTCCCGCATGTCAGTGGCAGAGAAGAAGAAAGCCGCCAAGCGAGCTTCTCTCCGAGCCGCACTGGGTTTAGGAGCGGAACCGACCAAACCCTCCAAAAAAGGTGACGACAAGGGAGAAGTGGGCGAAATACAAATCACCTTCACATCCGGTCTCAGCAACGCCAACTCCAAAGATCGAGGCCAAGTCTTTGAAAATGAACCGCAGGATGAAGAGTCCACAAGACAGAGATATATCCGCAAAGAGAAAGACCGCAAACTCAAACGGAAACAACGTATGAAAGCTCGAGCCAACGGCGAAGTCGTCGATGGCTCTGATATCGAAGAAGAGAATCCTCAATCTGCTGCCGCGACTACGAGCGCCAACAACAACGACCGTGCCGACTCGGAAGATGCAGAAGAAGATCCCTTCAACGACCCCTTCTTCAACGATCCCACCCTCGCCGCCAAAAACGAAAAAGCCGCCAAAAAGGCCTCTCGCGAAGCCAAACGCGCCGCCCGCGAAGCCGCCGCCGTCGAAGCCGAAAGCCGCAAAGCCGAACTTGAACTCCTCATGGCAGGCGATGACGATAACGGTGACGGAGGAGCAGCCCAACATTTCGACATGCGAGAAATTGAAAAAGCAGAGAAATTAGCTCGCAAAAAGGGCAAAGGGAAAAAACATCTCAAGAAGACTACTACTGCTGGTGCTGCTACGCCTGATGAATTCCAAATCGAAACTGAAGATCCTCGATTCGCAGCATTATTCGAAAGTCACGAGTATGCGATTGATCCGACGAGTTCGAAATTTAAGAAAACGAGAGAAATGGAGAGGTTGTTGGAGGAAGGGAGGAAGAAGAAGAGGAAGGAGAGGTATGGTGATGGTGATAACGGGGATGGGGAGGATGGGCCGCCGATGGAGAGGGAGAAGAAGAAGAATAAAAGAGTCAAGGTTGATGCGGATGGTACTACGACTGGTGGGGTGGATGATGTCAAAGGTCTTGTGGCGAGGTTGAAGAGTAAGAGTAAGGGCATGAAGAAGTGAATAAGGGGTTTGAACTGGAAGTGGGTGGTATAGCTAGCTAGCTGCTGGCTTGTGGACGCTGGAAGAAGACTTGGGAGGTAGGAGGTATAATTAATTCTTCGAGATGTACCATGTTGCTCATCACGTTTCTTTTTCTTTGGCCAAACAAGAAAAATGTATTTACGTGACATGAGTAAGCGTCCACATGTCAAGCAGAACACGATGACAAGGTCCCCTCGCGACAGAAACATGTTCTTCGAGCTTAGAAATGAGCGTGCAGCTTTCATTCCATCATCTACTTCCACAACCCCCCTCCCTCTCCCTCTGTCTCCCTCCCCCTCTCTCTCCCTCCCCCTCTCTCTCCCTCTCCCTCTCTCTCCCTCTCCCACGACATCTACTTCTTCCCCTGTCCCCTCCCCAACCCCATCCCCAGCGTCGCAGCAGCAACAATAACCGGCACAACACTCACCATCTCGCCCAAGCCCGCATATGCCGGTGGAATGCGAACTCGCACAAAGGCCCCCGCAGCCAACAGAATCGCAAACACATTATACACCGCACTCCACACGAAGTTGAACACGATCCTCCATACAGCCGCACGTGAAAGTTCGAGTAAGAATATCACACTTTCGAGACGATGCGACAGCAACACCACATCTGCCACGGCACCAGTTACGTCGGATGTAGAGCCCATTTGGACGCCGACGTCTGCCTGGGCGATGGCCACGGCGTCGTTGGTTCCATCGCCGAGGAAGAGGACTTTTTTGTTGTGGGTGGATTGGAGTCGCTGGACATATTGTTGTTTTTGAGCTGGGGAGCTGCGGGATGTGATGTTGGCGGGAGGGATGTTGAGGGAGGAAGCGACTAGAGACACGGCTTCGGAGTTGTCGCCGCTCACGATGTGGCAGGTGATACCGCGACCATTCAGTTCTGCGATTACGGAGGAGGCGTTGGAGCGGAGGGTGCTTTGAAGGCCGTAGACCGCAACGAGCTTTCCATTGAGTGTGATGCAGAATGTGGTCATGGCATCTTGTAGGAAGTGTGTGACCTCAGGGTGGCTTTCGACCTCCAACCAGTATGGATTTCCGGCTTTGATGTTGATGTCGCCATACTGAGCTTCGATGCCTGCGCCTGGGATGGAAACGATCGACTGGAGCGACTTCTTGGCTTGTTTGGGGTATGTGGCTGCGAGGTATGCGGCAACAGAGACAGATACGGGATGGGGATTGTCTGTGACTAGCGCGAAAGTAAGTGCTCGAGTCTCTTCATCGCTGAGAGTGATCTCATGAGATATCGTGCTTTCCCGCACGACCTGTAAGTCGCCTTCGGTTAAAGTGCCAGTCTTGTCGAAAACAACATCGGTGATCTTGTAGCTCCGCTCGATCGCATCAGCAGCTTTGATAATGACTCCGGCTCGTGCAGCTATGCCACCGGCAATGACGAGCACCATGGGAACGGCCAAGCCCAGTGCACAGGGGCAGCTGATCGCCAGGACAGCAATCGCGTAGGTGATGGACAGTCCGATCGCGCCTCCAGCATTACGATCGCGGACCTCAATAGCAATAGCTACCCAGATACAGAACACGAGGATGGCGATACCAACCACAACCGGGATGAACCAGGATGCAACTTTATCAGCCAAGTCTTGCACTCTGGGCTTGGATGCAACGGCATTCTCGACAAGCTTTGCAATATCCGTGATGCTGTTCTCGCCCGGTAGGCGTGTGATCGCGACCTGCATCACGCCTGAGCCGTTGATGGTGCCCGCAATGACCTTGTCGCCGACTTGCTTTTCCACGGGCAGGCTCTCGCCAGTCACCATGGATTCGTCCACCTCGCTGAGTCCAGAGACTACTTGACCGTCGGTGACGATTCGTGCATGGGGAGGGATAGATATCTGGTCACCAAAATGCAATAGTCGAGCATCGATTTCTGTGGTTTCGCCAGTATGCCCAACTAGCAAAGCACTGTCCGCCTGCAGAGATCGCAGTGAGACAGCAGATACAGCTCGCATTCTTGCCCAGGCAGCGATGAGCCGTCCCAGAAGGACCAGCGTAATGAGCATTGTACTAGTCTCAAAAAAGGCCTCTTGTTCAAGCGATATGCCGGCGCGCTGCAAGCCAAATGCAACAACAGAGTAGACGTACGCAGCAGTGATGCTGATAACGACGAGCATATCCATCTCGATGACATGGCTGTATATAAGTGATTTGAGAGCGCCAACGTAAAACTCGGGAACGGCGATGATCTGCACGCATGTGCCCAACACGAGAGCGATGATGGACACTTTCCGATGCGGCACCGGCGTATCAGACCATTCCAAGACAACGACAGGAATGGTGAGTATGGCCGCTAGCACGGTACTGCAGGCCGTCTCGATCAGTCGTCGTTTTCCTTCTGCGATACTGGCATCGTCCGATGGAGGCGCAAGTGTTGCATCTGGTGGCAGCAAAGAGCGCGCGCCGACCAGCGTGGGATCGTAGGCAATATTGTAAAGACCCTTCTTGCCCTTTGTAACGGACATGAGGCCAAGCATTGCAGTTTCATGCATCTGTCTGGCCGTGGCGGCTGTCATCAGAACAGACAGCTCCTGGCGTCCACTAATGATGCGAAGGCACCGAAAACCAGTCTCCTTCTCGATACGTAGCACCACTTGCTCGACATTGTCGCATACGCTAGAATCCAGGTCGAATTCAGCGCTGCCAGAAACGAATGTCACTTGAGCGTTGGACAACCCTCGGACGCCAGCAAGCACGTTCATCATCTTCTTACTGCATCCAGTGCAGGTCATGCCTGAGACATTGAGCACCACATGCTCACGACCTGCCGCGGCTTCGATGTCGAGATCATTCTGATTGTGCTCGACGGACGAAACAACAATGGCTTCCTTTTTGGGAAGGTCTGAAGAGCAACGAGAGTGAATGTTGACCTCCAAGTCAGTTGCGTTCTTCTCAAGAACAGCGGCATTGCAGCTACCTTTGACTGCTCGAGTGACACCTTGTGCCGGGTCCGATTTGCAGCAATTAAAGCCAAGCTGCTCAATGGCCATGCGGCAGAGGCAAAGTCCCCGCCGCAGCGCAGCCTCATAGCGGTCCAAAGCAAGTTGCAGATGGTCCACACAGCCTCCAGCACCGGACTCAGGGGTGGCATCGCAGCTAGTATTATCTTCACAGCATTTGTCGGTGCAATGAATGTCACTGCCTGATGTCGCAGCAAGTGTAGCGACGGGAGCTTTGCAGCACTCGTCGGTAGCTTTGTCATTAGTGCCACAGCATTTGGGTTTTGCGACCGACGTGCTCTCAGATTGGCAGCATTTCTCCAGGACGACGTTTATATCGTCCTCGTCGCGACAACAGCCAGCACTAGTGCCGCGGGAGGGCTTCGCCGCTGTATTAGCAGTATCACAGCAGCTTGCGCCTGCGTACGCCACGCTCTGAGAACAGGCCTTGTCCGCAATTTTGTTATCGCCACTGCAGCATCCGCTGCTCGTGCCACGGGAGGGATTCGCTTGGATGTCAGTACTGCTACAGCAAGTAGCTTTCGCCACTGGTGCGCTCTCAGAGGAACAGCCCTTCTCTGGTGGAAGTCTCCTGTCATTGTCAGCACTGCCACAGCAGCCATTGCTTGAGTCGCACGAAGACTTTGTCGCTGTATCAGCAGTACTACAGCAAGTGACTTTCGCGACTGGTGTGCTCTCAGAGCAGCAGCCCTTGTCTGGAAGTCCCCTGTCGTTGTCAGCACCGCCACAGCAGTCACTGCTTGAGCCGCACGAAGACTTTGCTGCTACATCAGCAGTATCACAGCAAGTAGCTTTTGCGATTGGTCCGCTCTCAAGGGAACAACCCTTCTCGGGGATTATCTTCTCCTCGTCATTACCACCACAGCAGCCACTGCTTGTGCCACATGTGGGCTTTGCTGCGCAGCAGTCTTGTTTAGAGACTTGCTCGACTCCCTCTGACTTGGCGCATTTGGACACGCTTTCCGATTTGTCTTCGAAGCAAGATTTTTGAGGCAAAACTGCATTGTCAATGTTTCCAGAGCAGCAGTTGGCGCCCTTCGACCTATCTTCAGAGCAGCAACTCCGAGCCAAGGCTGCGTCTTCATTACTGACAGAGCAGCATCCACCGATCTGCGGCTTGTCTTCGGAGCAACATTCCTGGCGCGAGGCTGCGACTCCACTACTGCCAGGGCAGCATCCACCGTCGTTGGCCTTGGACTGCTCATCCTCTTCTCCAGCTGAAACACAACAGCCACCGCCACCGCCACTGCAGTCGACGTTTGGCTTGGAAGATATCGTCTCTTTAACGACGCATTTGACCTCTTGGCCAGCAGACGCGCTGCAGCAATCTCTGATCTCCTCCGTCTTGCCATTGCTAGCCACGACGCCGGCGGAACTGACACCACAACAGACCTCGTTCTCAGCCGATTCAGCTTCGCTACCTTGCTCTGCGAGTCGAGAACAGTCGTTCAGCGCACACAATCGGGCGGCGATGCGGCGGAGGCATTCGTCTAGGACCTGCTGTCAGCATGTCTGCGTCTCAGCCTGCCGTCGAGCACGCGTGCAGGTGTACCGTTACAGCCTCGTCGCCGGCTCGACGCTGGAGACGACATAATTGCGGTAGATATGCGCTGTTGTCGGGTCTGATAATGGGACTTTCGTGTTCGATACCGATAACCTACCACGCGGGGAGTCGGTGGGAATGGCGATATTCCAAGGCTATACCATAGCTTATCGATAGCACTAGTTCTGGCGCTGTTGATTTTATCGTATTCCGTACTAACATATACTTTGTTTCCCCAACGCTCCACAACAGGACCCAACCTTATTACGTTCCAGCCGAGGCATGCATCTATACACTTTTCTGAGTCCCGGTCTCGGGGTACAGGTGTACTTTGTAGATGAATGAGACATATACTAATGTATCCAATGATGGTATTGCGGTGCAAGCTCATTTGAAGCTTTAATGATTGAAGCAGTGACATTCGAAGCATCTCCCATTCCATACCACAGCACGACAGCCTCCACCAAGACGATGATCTGCCAATAGCACCACTTCCCCATCCCCCGAGACACCCACCACAACCGCGAATATGGCGCCTCCAGCAGCGTCTGGCCCAGGCTCTGGTGCCTCAGATCTGGCCATCGTCGGCGACTCACTCAGAGTTCTCCCCACTGGCGATACGGAAGAAGAGTTGCTCGAGCCATATGCCAAATTCAGATCCGAGCCACTCAACGCGCTACAAGAACTTGGTCTGCACGTCCTCGGAACAGCCTGGAGATCCTACGACAAGGTCGTGGGCCCTCCCGTCTTCTACGATGGCTTCAGCGAGAATATGAAGGACATGGTCATGAAACAGCCCATGCTCAAAGCCCGCATGCGAGAACTGGCCAACAAGAGAGTCGAGGTGGAGATTCACCAGGACTTACTGGGGCCCAAGGGCCTGGACGGAGAGGATGCTGTGACTCGACAGAAGAGAGCGGCGAGAAGGGAAGAGATTGAAGCACAGTTGGGTGACGTCGTATACGAATGGCTGGACAAGATGATCTTGAAGATGGAGAGTAAACGCTTCATTCGTGGAGCGTACTACTTTGCGACGCAGCTCCTGACGAGAGCGTATCATCAAGGCATACACGTGAGCAGTCAGGAAGTTCTGGCGTTGCGAGAGGTAGCCAAGCAAGCGGCGAAGAAGAAGCAGAGTATCATCTTTTTGCCGTGCCATCGAAGTCATGTAGACTACGTGAGTCTGCAGCTTATATGTTATCGACTTGGTCTGGCGCTTCCTACAGTCGTGGCTGGTGACAATCTCAACTTCCCGCTCGTGGGCCCCTTCCTACAGCACGCAGGCGCAATGTGGATCCGAAGGTCCTTTGGCGACGACCAGCTGTATACGACTCTTGTGCAGAGCTATATTGATACCCTTCTCCAAAATGGCTACCCGTTCGAGTGCTTTGTGGAAGGCGGTCGAAGTAGAACCGGAAAACTGCTCCAGCCGAAATTCGGTATCCTGGGATTCCTGATGGAGTCAGTGTTGTCGGGCCGAGTGGAAGATGCAATGGTGTGTCCGGTATCGACACAATACGACAAAGTGATAGAAGTGGACTCGTACATTTCCGAATTGCTCGGGCAACCGAAAAAGAAGGAAGATCTTTCCCAGTTCTTGTCAGCATCGAATGTCTTGTCACTGAAACTCGGAAGAGTGGACGTGCGTTTCCAGAAGCCATGGAGTCTGCGAGAGTTTATCGATGAGCAGAGCAGCAGAATGGGCAAAGAGACCACGAGCTTGCAGGGCACTTACGACGCGAACATGAGACGACGACTACTCACGACATTCGGCTACAAAGTCCTCAGCGATATCAACGCGGTATCTGTTGTGATGCCCACAGCCTTGGTCGGCACCGTGCTCCTCACCCTCGCCGGTCGCAGTGTCGGCCGCACTGAACTGATTCGCAGAGTGGAATGGCTCTCCGATCGCGTCAAAGCCCAAAACGCTCGGGTAGCCCATTTCGCAGGCACAAGCACTGAACAAGTCGTCGACAAGGCCCTCGAAGTTCTCGGACCCAAACTCGTGGGACGTGTCGAAGACCTTCCAGAAGAAATGTACTATGCCGAAGATCGTTTCCAACTCTCCTTTTATCGAAATATGACCATCCATCTCTTCATCTCCCAGGCTCTCGTCTGCGCGGCTCTGTACACAAAGGTCAAGCTCGGAGGGGTGGAAGCCAACCCTTCTATGCCGTACAAGCAATTATACGACTATGTCTATTTCCTCTCTCAACTTTTCCGAGCAGAATTCATCTTCCCTACTACGTCTCTCGAGGAAAACCTGGCAGCTACGCTGAAGGGGCTCGAAAGAGACGGCATCCTCTCTCTCCAGACCAATCATGACAGCAGCAGCGATAGTAACAAGGTCGAATTCGTTTCCATCGCCCCTTCAGAACTCACTCGCGATACGGAAAACTTCGACTTCTACTGTTTCCTCATTTGGCCTTTCATCGAAGCATCCTGGCTTGGCGCAATCTCACTCTTCATGCTTGCTCCCCCTCCTCGCACCAAACGCACTCAAGACGACGACAACAACCACTCCTGGCTCGACCTCAAAACCGTGCAAGACAAAGCCCAACTGCTCGGCAAGACGCTCTATCACCGCGGCGATCTGGGCTACTACGAAGCCGTCAACAAAGAGGCTCTCAAGAACGCCTTTGGACGTTTCGAAGAAGAAGGTATCATCGTCGTCACGCGTCCAACTAAAGGTCAAAAGACACGAGAGCGGGTTCGATTGGGATCTGAGTGGATTCCCACATTTGATGTGGGAGGAGAGTTGATTGCCGAGGGGCGATTGTGGGATTTCGCCGAGAGTATCAATGTTTCTCGGAGGGACTTTCGAGGCAAGAAAGAGGGTGCAACTGTTACGAGGAGGATTTTAGGGTTGGCCACGTTGACGGGAGAGGATTTATGGGTGGATGCAACGAACAGTGGTAGTGGTAACGGGGAGGTTGCTGGTGCTGCTGGAGAAGTGAAGAGGGTCAGGAGGAGGAGGGGCATTCAGACTGGAGCGAAGCTGTAAGATCAATCCCGTTGCTGAGTCTATTGTTGACAAATGGAGTAACTATCTTGTTTGGATATACTTTCGTGAGAGAGATGTGCTGTGGTGAGCAGGTCAGGAATAAGCGCAATGCACCGAAGGAGTCAGTCTGGTTGAAGACGAGATACCCAACAGGAGTCACAGATACTGTAACGAGGTAGAGCTCAATACTCGTGATGCCTCTGAAGAGCGATTTGACATCTGGCGCGTCAGTGCTCAGTGTCTTCTTCTGCACATGATCTGGACTGTGTGCTAGTGCCAGCAGCTAGCTGGCTCTAACATACCCATATACCCATACAAGCGGCGAGGTCAGGTTTTACCAAGTCATCTTCCTCAAATTCTACAATTACGAGAGCACACTTAAAGCTTCCAACTCGTACTATGTAGCATGAGACAACGATTGATCTTCATATCGAATCAACCTTTCAGCGGAAAATACAATATGATGATCTAGATCTTCCTTGCATTTTGACACCTGCGAGTCGTCATGATGATCATGATCATGATCAGTTTTAGTGTAGAAAGTATCAAAGTAGGGAGGAGGTAGTGAGTTGGAAAGACACAGACAACACAGAAAAGGAGAGAGAGGGAGAGGGAGAGGGACGAGGGAGGTACTCGGACAACACCACTAACTCCATGTACCCCTTTTTGATCCATTCATTCCATTCATTCATTGACATTGATAACACCAAACGAGATATTACAAGGAGCAAAGGACCGTTACACAAGGACCGAGCGTGTGCGGTAGCGAGAACAACAACAAAAACAACAACAACAAATCTCGGTAGTGTCACTTGGAAACTACTAGGAGGTACGGAGGTAAGAGGTAACTAGAGAATGAGGACGGACGTGTGATAGAGTTGGCTGCCATGAGTAGTGGGTTACTTTTGAGGTACAGTAGTCTATCCGTTTGATGTTTCGACCCCGAAAAAACCCTGAACTTTATTCAACTAGGACGTGGTCGGTGGTCGGTGGTCGGCGGTCGGCTAGTCTAGTGCATTCTGGTAGGTGAATGTGAGATGATCAGCTACATTGTAGCTACTAACAAACAGATCATCACCACTGTACAATGCTCTTCTTCTGTATGTTCTCTCTCACTGTGCAAAATTCCATCAATTCATTCATCCATATCATTCACATCCCAACTACAACTACCCATAGCCACTCCAATTCTGTAATACAGTCCCAATCCAAGCTAGAACAGCACACGACTCGTCAAACTTTCCAACTTCCGTTTCACGCATTCGCTTTCGGAGTCACACCCGAGAAAGAACATGTACGACACCTTACTAGTAGGAGAGATCACGCACACATACACAACTCGCCTCACTCGCCTCGCCTCGCCTCGCTAGTACACTTCCTACTACCTCCTACCTTACTACTCATGAGTGAGGCTTTCTTTTTCTCTCTTTCTCGATACACACAACCACGTGTCGTTGCAAGCCCCAACGGCTTTTTCATCTTTTCTTCGCTTTCTTTTCTTTTTCGCCTCCCCCCCCTTTTTTTGCTAATGAGTCTCTCTCTATCTCTCTCTCTTACTATTTTCCGTTCCCAAGTTCGATTAAGTTCGATTATAATAAACCCGAATGAGAGAAAGAAAAGAAGAGAGAAAGGGGGGGAATTCTGGTGCATTGAGTCTGTAGAAGCTAGATTGACAAAGACATGACAAAAACGCCATAAAAGAAGAATAATTCTCCGAATAGAATCAGAATAATACCTCATACTACTGCAAATAATCCATCTACCTACTGTACCCTCTGAGTCTCTACTACTCTCCTCTAACTAGGAGGTAGGGCCAGACTCTCCTAGTGCACAATTGACTAGAACACAAGAAGGTACTAGCGGGGCTAGCAAGAGGGTAAAAACCAACTACCGAATCGGGGAATTTCTTTTCTGGTGAATTATGTTTTTGCCCCCTCTTCGCCCGCCGTTTTCTTGGGGGCTGCGGTGCTAGTCAAGACAGACAGACAGACTGGGTGTGAGTGAGTGGGTGAGTGGTTCAAACAAAGAGTCGTGAAACGAGATTGAAATTGTTTAGTGCGCGCTGCAGCAAGTCTGAGGCACACGGCACTTCTGAATTCTGCTGCACCTGCACCTCACTAAACCCATCTGGAACTTACACTAACTATACTACACTACACTTACCTGACGTGAACCTGACCCTGACCTGACCTGACCTGACCTGACCTTACCATCGTATCACCAGCGACCGTATCCGTATCCCTTTGGTGGTGTTGGGTGGTGGTGCGTGCTTTGAGAATACCAGAAAACCAAAAAAAGGGCTGTGCTGAATGGCTTGCATAGAAGGAGTTGAAAGTTTAATACAGACATATATACATCCACCTTCCCCATCATCCAACATCTCTCTCCATCATCAGCATCAACAGCATCATCAGCATCATCGCCCATCGCCCGTCCGCCTCCCACCCTTCGCTCCAGCAATCTCTCGTTTTCGTGCATTCCGCACCCTCAAATTAACACATTCGTTCTACATTACCTACCTTTTAGACGGTTCTCAATCTCACTCACCCCCAATCCTCTCGACAATATGCGTTACTCCTACATCTTCACTCAGCTGGCATTTGCCTCCGTGGCCATCAGTGCCGCTATCCCGACCGTCGGTGGAGCCGCCGAGGGTTATGGTGCTGCCAAGGGGAACGTCGAAGCTGGAGCTTCGTCCCCAGTCCCAGTGTATGGAAACGCAGGTAACCAAACCTCTCCGGCTGCAGGTTCGGCTGGCTATGGAAAGGGCGGTAGGTTTTGAATTGTCTGGAACTGGCATTTGGAACTCTATGCTGACTATGCTCGCCAGGTGCTCAATCTGGGGTAGGAGCTGGCGTTGGTGGTGGCGTCGGTGGTGGCGTTGGAGCTGGACTCAACGGCAAAGGCGGAGCTGGTGTCGGTGGCGGTGTTGAGGTCGGTGCTGTCGGCGGCAAAGGCGGCAAAGGCGGCGCTGGTGCCGGTGCTGGCGTCGGTGGTGGCCTCAATGGCCATGGCGGAGCTGGTGTCGGTGGCGGTGTCGGCGCTGGCGTCGGTGGTGGTCTCAACGGCAAAGGCGGTGCTGGTGTCGGTGGCGGTGTCGGTGCTGGCGTCGGTGGTGGTCTCAATGGCCATGGCGGAGCTGGTGTCGGTGCTGGTGTCGGTGCTGGTGTCGGCGCTGGCGTCGGTGGTGGCCTCAACGGCAAAGGCGGAGCCGGTGTCGGTGCTGGAATCGGTGCTGGTGTCGGTGCTGGCGTTGGTGGTGGCCTCAACGGCAAAGGCGGTGCTGGCGTCGGTGCTGGTGTCGGTGCTGGTGTCGGTGGTGGCCTCAACGGCAAAGGCGGAGCCGGTGTCGGTGCTGGTGTCGGTGCTGGTGTCGGTGCTGGTGTCGGCGGTGGCCTCAGCGGCCACGGCGGAGCCGGTGCAGGTGCTGGAATCGGTGCTGGTGTCGGTGCTGGCATCGGTGGTGGAATCAACGGCAAGGGCGGTGCAGGTGCTGGCGTCGGTGCTGGCGTCGGTGCTGGCATCGGTGGTGGAATCAACGGCAAAGGCGGTGCTGGTATCGGTGCTGGCGCTGGCGTCGGTGCTGGCGTCGGTGGCGGAGTCAACGGCAAAGGCGCTGCTGGCGTCGGTGGCGGTGCTAAGGCCGGTGCTGTCGCCAGCAAACACGCTGCTGCTGGTGCAGGTGCTGGCGTCGGTGGTGGCATCGGTGGTAGCATCGGTGGTGGCATCGGCGGTGGAGTCAACGGCAAAGGCGCCGCTGGTGCCGGTGCAGGTGCTGGCGTCGGTGGTGGCATCGGTGGTGGCATCGGTGGCGGCATCGGTGGTGGCATCAACGGCAAGGGCGGTGCAGGTGCTGGCGTCGGTGGTGGCATCGGGGGCTCTGCAGGGCTAGGTGGCGCTGGTGGTATTGGTGGCAAGGCTTCCGGCGGTATGTTTCTCGAGATCCATCACATTGCATGCAGATTCTAACATCATTCTCAACAGGCATCGGCGGAGGTGTTGCTGGCAAAGGCGGTCTCGGGGCGGGAGCTGGTGTCGGTGGTGGTGCAATCTGGCCTGGCGTCGGTGCTGGAGGTCAAGCTGGTGAGTCGACCCGGCCGTTCATGATTGCAATTGCTTCTCTCTCTGGTATGGTTTGCTGACAAGTCCAAGGTGCTGGCCTCGGCTTCGGCTTCGGTGGCAATGGAGGAATCGGCGGCGGCGCCAAGGGAGGCATTGGGGGTCAGGGTGGTAAGTGATCGCCCTTGTGGACCGCGCGGAGTCTTGCTAACCATTCATTCCCAGGCGCAGGCTTCGGATCTATTGGTAATGGAAATGGACCCAACTATGGTGAGTGGAAATCCTCGATAATGCTATTCCCAAGCCTTGCTAACACTTCTCAGGCTCCGGATCCGGATCGAACAAGCCAAGCCCCAACGGAGGAGCACCAGGCGGCACTGAAAGCTCTCCAGTTCCAGGAAAGCCAAACAACTCGGGCCCATCTGGTTCGCCGCCTGCATCCTCGCCAAACGCTGGCAACGCTCCTAGCTACGGTGCACCACAGTCAGGATCGCCAAGCGACACTGATAGCTCTCCAGTCTCAGGCAAGCCCAACAACTCGAGCCCATCTGGTTCCTCGCCTGCATACACGCCAAACGCTGGAAGCAACGCTCCTAGCTACGGTGCACCACAATCAGGATCGCCAAGCGGCACTGAGAGCTCTCCAGTGTCAGGAAAGCCCAACAACTCGCCTGCATCGCCAAACGCTGGTGGCCAGGCCCCTAGCTACGGTGCACCAGCACCAGCCCCCTACTAGGTGGACGAAGGCTTTGGGTGCGAAAGAATCTGTTTTGATGCGATCAATGATTTTAGCGTAGACATAGACCCTCCTTTTCGACAGTACAGAGAAATACAGCCTCCCTAGGAGATTGAGAACCTACTTTATACTTGATCCTTTTATCACTGTGCACGATAGCAAAAGACCGAGTAGTCCTACTAATCATACGCATAGCTAGGTGCAATCTTGCACACCGAAGCTGCAACCACTCGAGGTGGAAGTACATCCTCGCGTCGAAGAGTTGTCCGATCGGTCTCTTCAGAAGCATCTTCTCCATTACCTGGGCAAGGGACCCGGCTCGTTTTTCCCTCATCAACATCCATCTCCAAACTCTTCCCTCGCCCTCTCAACCTTTGCCTTTCAACTCCAGCCCTCATCTCTTCACACAGCACCACGAAAAGGCGGATATAATCGTCCGTCGATGGAGGTGGGGGTGGGGGAGGATGCTTGCTGGCGAAAGCGCTGCTATGGAGCGCAAGTATGGGCGTGGCGTGCGTAGAGCAGCATATCGAGGGCAGAAGATCTGTCGCCTTTACGGCAGCGGACGCGGAGAGCAAGTTGGAGCCTTCCAAGTTGTTACGAGGTTGTCGATTATCGATGCACTACGCAAGGTAACCTTGAGGTAGGCACTAAGCTACACTGCCAAGCCGGCACATCCTCGGCCAGGCTCATCAAAACAAATATATACAACATGAGTTTTCCCGCCACCACGAATCACACAGTGGTTGTATAGTGTAGCGGTTATCACATCGGATTCTGATTGCCACGCGCATGAGAAGATGTTCCGGGAACCCCGGTTCGATTCCGGGTACGACCTGATAAGATCATAGTACCCTCAAGCTTCAGCTTGATCTGTTATTTTTGTTTTTTGTTTCTTTTTGCCTTCTTGAGGAGTTTCTTTTGTAGGAACCTCCCAATAAAGATGAATCGATATTACTACCTACTATCCGAGCAATGTTGTCGGGGCGGTAGCAAGTACCTAGGTAGGCAGGTAGTCCTAAAGCCGCAGAGCAGAGCAGGAAGAGGCAATTCCATTGTTCTCTTTTTATTTTTTTGTTGGAATTTCTTGATGAGCACAGCTCTCGTGATAGTCATCATCATCATCATTACTGTTAAGCAAAAAAACAAATATACCATTCCCCCAACCCAGGTCATCACATTCATCCTTGCTTCGTCATCTCCGAGTGCTCTGCTGCAAGCCCGTCTTTGTACTGCGACACGACACTTTCATCCAGCGTCTCGCCAAAGACATCGACCTCGGTCGAGGCAAACTTGCGTGCAGAGACTCGTCGCTCAAACAAGAGATCCATCTCGGCGAACGTGCGGCCTCGAGGTTCAGGGACACGGAAGTAGGTGTAAACGCAGCAGAGGAAGGCAAGACCCGCCCAGAAGAATCCGGCATAGCTGCCCCAGTCCCATGCGGTGGGGTTGATCATGTAGGGCGTGATGGTGGAGCAGATGATGGCGGCCACGATGTACAGATTTCTTCCCAGGACCACAGTCTTGATCTGCAGGCGACGCGATGAGACCTCAGCGACCAGAGAGTAACAGACTGTGCCAACTGTGAGCTGGTAAACCAAAGCCCAGACGATCATGATGCTGCCAGTGGCGAGTCCAGCGGTTTCCCTGTCGTCGACCAGACCCATGAATCCCATGATTAACAGGAGGGTGGTGAGCGCGACGAGACCGTACAGATAGAGTGTTCGACGTCCCACGCCAAGGGACATCAAACCCCAAGCTCCGAACACACCTACCATGTTGATGGCATATTGGCCCATGGCAAAGTTGTACGAGTTCTTGCTGGAAACACCGGCTTGTTGCAAAAAGTAGGTGGAATAGTTCGAGAAGGAGTTGCCGGCAAGGTTTTGGATAGCCCAGCACATGCAGACAATCTCTGTCCGGCGGAGGTCGGATCCTTTGAAACAGTCAAGGTACGAAGCTCCACTGGTGGTTTGCTCTTCGAGAGCGGTAGTATGGGCCATCATGGCAATCGTCTCGTCGGCATTGAAGTCAGTTTCGCGGTTAGTCGAAGTGAGACGAATCAGAGCCTTCTTTGCGTCTGCCATGCGTCCCTTTCTCACGAGCCACCTTGAAACCACAAATCAGCGACTGGCTAGGATGGCATGTTGTCAGCCTACTCACCAAGGACTCTCTGGAGCAAAGGCAACGCCGATGACGAGCGGGACAGGCCACATCCACTGGAGAGCATATGGGATGCGGTATGCCCATTGATCGGTGCGCGTGAACATGGATCGAATGACACCGATCGCAATGAGTTGGCCAAGACCCCAGCAGCAGTTGACGTAGGTGGTGAGGTAGCCACGCAGAGCGATGGGGCAGACTTCTGATGCGTAGGTGATGGTGAGCGTTTGGAAGACTCCCCACGGCATACCTGTGATAGATGAGTACGCGTTCCCACAGATGGGATCTGGCGAGCATGCTAATACTGCCCAGGACTTACCACAGAGAATCTCTCCCACGAGAAGGGTCTGAATGTTGGGAGCGGTGAAGAAGATGGTGATGTAGATGATGATGAGCGTGAGGCAAGTAATGACCGTCTTGCGGTAGCCAAATTTCTCGGAAGCCCCTAGCATGGAGCGCGTGAGCAATGGCATCAGTCAAGACACTTCCGAGAGCACTTACATCCGTTGATGAACAGTCCTATGAACTGGCCCACGAGTGCGCCATTGGACAACCCAGCCTGCCATGGTGCGGATACCTGTGCAGATCGGTCAGCATAGTCTGGTAGGTAGCACGAATAGAGTTTTCCGTACTTGGTATGGCGAGTCTGGATCGCCGGTAGGTTCACCATATTTCCGATTGAAAGGCTCGAATCCGTAAAAGTTGTTGACCAACGCCACCTGATAGCCTTCCATTGCGATGCATGTGGAGATCAGAATGCTCCATGCGATGGCCTTGGGGTAGAGTTTGATGCCTTGCAGGAGCGACATCTTCTGCTCCTCGTCGGAGGCCTTCTTCGCGTCAAGGACGGTCTGCTTCATGGACGTGGTCATGTTGAGGTCGTCGCCGTGTGAGAAGTGCAGAGGACCCTCGGCCTTCTCGGCCTGGATCTCTTTCTGGTCTGCCATGGTGTACGGTGCGGTGCAGTGCGGTGGGGTTGGCCGCGTGGACGGAGGGTGCGTGGAGAGTGACAGAAGCGGGCGGCGGAGAAGGCGGCAGAGGAGGAAGAAGAGGAGGAGGAGGAGGAGGAGGAAGAGGAAGAGGAAGAAGAAGAAGAACAGGCAGAATCCTGGAGAAAGCGTCCGAAATTGAGAGTAGCCGATGGTTCTTTATGGTTCTGCGTGCGCACTAGGATTATCATCACGCGCCAGTCGCGTGCCCGCCGAGAAGGCATACCGACAGACGCCGATGTTGGTATAGCAGAGGGGAGTGGAAGAACGTGGAAACGAGGGACAGGGCGTGCTCCAGCTTTGCCGCTGGTGTGATTGGCCCATCGGCCGGAACCTGGAGAAACCCAGTCCCCACAAGATGGGGTACATGGAGAACCGCGCCGACTCAGTCGCCGAAAGGGCTGTGATTGGCTCCATGGACACGAGTGACACCAGCGACAAGCCGGACCAGAGCAGTTCGTCTACGCCCCAACGAGCATCCCGGCCTGCCTCCCTTGCCCTCCCCTCCCCTTCCCATGACCGCCTCCACTTCGGCATCGAATACCAACGCTGGAGTAGGCCAGTATCCGATGTAAACTTTTCTCCAGCCCAAGGGGGATGTGACGTGCCTGTGGGCCATGTGGCCTGAGAGAGGCTAGACTCGTTGTGATTCCACGGGCAATGTATGTGCACATCATGTACATAAATGTATATTCACTCACGTCGCTCCGGAAGTGAAGGAATGTGTCCTCGGAAGGGAAACATGTCTGCTGAATACCTATGGCTTCTATCTGCTTCGTCAGTAGCTATCTTATTATCAAAAGATCCTCTTGATCGAGAGCATACTAGGCTCCTTGATAACTTCATCGAGGTAAGATTGTCGTGATTTCCACCAATCTTGTTAGTCGAAAAAGCTCAGGTACTAACATGTTCCAGGATCTCAATCGTATTGTGGTATCACCCTCATCCCCGATGCCAAGACTGCATGTAACACGTTACACACTGATCTGGCCGCCTGGCGTGGTTCAGCTGCTAGTCGGACCTTTTGGCCTAGAAATTCGTCCATCCGCGACTCCAAGACAAAAACAAAAATGGTATAGGAGTGCTGTGGCTTCATGCATCCGAATAGGAATATTCGTGAACCTTCTATGATTTGACGTGATCAGCTCGTCCGCCATGAAAGTTACCTCCTACGTCAATGCGAGAGAGGGATTGGCCGAGTAGATAGATCCTGGAAAACGTTACCCAAGGTCGCTACCTTATACATATGTAGATAGAGTCTGAAGTCGAGGATGGTTTGACCAAGGTACTGATGTACCTGTGTATCAAATGGTGGGGAAGCCCGCCGAGAACCTTTCCTTTCGATGATGCCACCACACTGCACACGCGAAGGGCAAGGAACTCGAAGACGGCGGACGCGTTGTTTGTCGTGCGCCAAGCATCATTCTCTACGAATCACATGATATTCCTACATTCCAGTGTCAGTTGCTCCCAGTCTCCCACACACGTCTGCAAGAAATCGGGAGCAGAAGAGGAAGTGGGCGAGCACAGCGTCCACAGTAAGGTAGATGCAAAGTAGGTAGGTAGGTAGTCAATATGCACGTGTGGTGGCATTTGCTGCTGCACATCACCCCGCTCTGACCAGCGCGGGCCAGAGCTGCGGTGCTTGCCTGCCCAAGAGATAGTCTGGTGGTGACCAGGTACTCGGTAGTCTGGTGTCTAAATGTATTATACTCCTCGTGGTCTCTTCGTTCGCATGTTTCTCATCAAACGCTGACAGGCGTAGTCGCCCCCGCCGTAATCGCATGTGTTCCCTCGCCATGTAACCACTGATGACCGAGCCCTTCAGAGCACCAGTGATGTTCTCAGACCCTCCCTCCCAATGTACGCAAAACTCCCATGTAAAACTCCCTCTGGCCCTTTTGTCCTCGGGCGCCCCATGCTTTGTGTTGTGTTGTATTGTGTGTGCGTGTGTGTGTGCGTGTGTGTGTGCGTGCGTGTGTGCGTTCGTATGTGTGACTCTGCCGCTGTGATGATGGGTCAAGTCAGGATGCCGGCGCTATGCTACTGCTCAGAGGCGAAAACAACGACAGAAAGGGTATCTTCCGCGGTAAGCAAGCCTACGATGATGAAAGTTCGTGGCAAAACAGTAAGAAGATGCACTCAAATGTAGAGTGTTCGCAGCGTATCGACGGGTGGCGTATCCGTCATACCTTTGGCACGTAACGTCAGCCCAGCGGAGGATGCAGGGGCGTCGGTCTTGCCGCTCTTTTCGGCCTGTTGACGTTCCTTGCGTGCCTTTTTCTGCGCCTGCTTCTGCATGTCCTTCCTGTCCCGAGCGGAGATGCGGGGACCGGACGGCTTCTGCAATGTCTTGCCAGGTGGTCTCGGCGGCAAGAGCTTTATTCTCACCGCAGGCCTGGCAGAGACAGCAGTCTGCGCAGATGACGCCTGATCTGGTTCAGAGGCGACAGTGAGCTTCTGTGACGAGGCGTCGTGATCATCGTTGGAGGTCGGCTGCGTACTCGATGAGCGGTATATGCAGTTGGGTGGAGTCGAGTCGGGGCGACTCGAAGTCTCCGACGCACAGCTGACCACTGACTCCTGACTGTCATCGTGAGCCGCCAACTGGGACAGCGCGTGCTTGCTGTCTTGCGTTCGCTCCTTGCGAGCACGTGTGGCCCTGCTCAGACGTCTGTCCTGCTTCTTGTTGGGCGCGCCCTGGGCGTCATCATCGCTGTCATGGTCTCGCTCGATGCTCGAGCTCTCCACCTGTGACGAGCTGCTCTGACGCTCTTCGGCATCAAACATGTTGCTTACTGCCAGATCAATGTTGCCTTTTGCAAGCTCCAATGCCCGCTTGATGGTGATCTTGTCTGCCAGATAGGGCAGTGACTTGGATACCACGTCAATCTGCCACGGAAGCACGGGTGACGAGTTCGACAGCCGTTCGCTCTGCAGGGCCTCTTCCTCGGGCGAGAGCACCTTGACGGTGACGTTCGGCATGCCGGTGTGCGGGCCGTCGAGGTTGCGAATGGAGGAGTAGTGCTCCCACGTGTGATATGCAATGTGTGCCACCTTTCGGTCCGTGTCGCCCTGACCGCCCGACACCATGAACGCGTAGTCACGTTGGTAGATCTTCACATCATAGCCCATGGCCGAAGAGAAGGCCACAATCTCCATGTTGTCCCCATAGGTGCCGCCGCGGGCCATGGATGCGAGGTGGTTTTCGAAGACGCGGTCAATGTCGGCGGAGGAGGGTGCTTCGAAGGAGGCTGGCGAGGAGTACGAGCCCGCATTCTTGCGTTTGGGATTCCGACGGATGCCACCACCGGGATTGACGTCAATGAACTGTTTGTAGTAGTCGGCATGCTCACGCATGTACTCGATGACACGCGAGCGAATGGTGGCGTGTGCGTTTTGGTGGCCGTACAGCTGGTCGGACAGGGCGTTGAAGAGGCAATTGCCTAGAAGGATGGGACATGATTAGCACCGATGCAACAAACAGCACGCAGGGTCTGCGTAGGTACAGGTCGGTGGCAGTACCATCTCCGCGGATATCAGCTGCGTACAGACCCAACTGTCCCAGCAGTGGGAATTCGGCCGTCATGCCTCAACTCGCGTGTGCACAGAGAGTGCGCGATCGACCTGAGGGCGACAGTCGGTTAGTTGCATTCATGTCAGGAAGGCTCAATGGCCGCCCAGCACTGCGTGTCCGGTGGGTAGAGGAGCAGCAGATGGAGGCGGGGAGGGGCGCGGTGTGCAACGACGACGGGAGGACGGGACAGGGAATGAATGAAGCTGAATGAATGAATGGGGGATATAGGTAATAGGTAGGTAAGGTATGGAATAAAATCCCGGTGGAGCAGCCGCGGAGGCAGCGTCAGAGAGAAAAGAGCAACAGCACAGCTGCACAGCACAGCACAGGTCGGCGGCTGATCGGGAACATGGTTTGTGAGAGGCTCGCTCTGGCTGGCTCAGGCTGCACGCCTCAGGAGCAGACGTAATTGGACGTACCGATAATTCGCCTGCCTGTCACGGTTAAAATAACAAAATCAATATCGACGCTGGATTTTTGGTGATTGTCAATTGGTCTTGTCCTGTGCTCCACGCGGTTGATATGTGTGATGCTGGGGATATTTGTGCTATTGTGGCGGTCAAGGAGGGTGGCGGTGAGGTGGGTGTCGGCGGTGTGGGCGGTGTCGGCAGCAGTGATAGTGTGTGGGCGATGTGCTCGCTGGTTTTGTGACGATGGTGGAGGTGTGGTGGTGGTGGTGGTGGTAGCAGTGATTGTGTTGTTGTTGTTGTTGTTGTTGTTGTTGTTGTTGTTGTTGTTGTTGTTGCTGTCGTCAAGCTCTCTTTCTCGAGGTGGAGGTACAGGTAACGAAAAGCTGAAGCCGACAGACACCCTGTGCTTCCCGATTCGGTGATGGGTCGCGTGAATAATGAAGCAAGCTATATAACTACTTTTGTAGCCTTGTCGGTAGGTTCGGAGTCTAGTTCTGTACCAGACTCGCGCTCCGTTTGCTTCCTGGTTGACAATCACAACAAACCTCAGGCTGCTGGCTACATGTGCCCTAGGAGGTACTCCTACTGATGAATGGATGGACAGACGGCGGACAACGGGCGTGACAATAGTGTGTAGGGTACATGTACCTGATGTATTTGGTGTAGAACGACGCGGCCATCTAGCAATCACATCACAAGCATCCCATCCTCTACCACGAGGACTCTGCCCTGCTCGGCTGAGTCTGCTTTGCCCTGCTCTGCCCAAGTGACGGAATGACGGAGTGACTGAAGTGGCTGCAGCTTCAGTGGATGAATGAATGACCGCTCCGTCACGAGGCAGGGCAACACGAGGCTCTCTTGCATGTGAGAGGGAGCCTGGATGGGGGGAGAGAGAGGGCGAGGGAGAGGGAGAGAGGGAGAGAGGGCGAGGGGAGAGAGAGAGAGCTTGCCCAGATGACTCAGGATTCAGGACAGGCAGGACAGCTTCTCCGCAGTCCGCACCATCATCTTCTTTTTCCCCTTCCCCTTCCCCTTCCACTTTCTCTTCCACTTCCACTTCCCCCTCTTCCTCCTCCTCCCCCTCCTTCATCCTTTCCTTCTCTCTCCCGCGCCCTCCTCCGTCCTCTCTCATCCCGCCTCCCTCATGCCTCCCTGATTATGTACACGATCGACATGCTATCACGCGTAGACTCACCAGTCCGTCGCTCGCCAAGTGCCGATCGCAAGAAGCCGAGAGCCAACATGAAGCTATTCAGAGGACGGGAAGCTAACCAGGCCCACTGACTCTGAAACCAGGGGAACAGCGCCTTTCACAAACATCCGAGTTGCACAACATTCACATACAAAACACCCGCCTCCCAGAAGGTGGAAGCGCTTCACTTTACCCACGACCGCTAATGCTTCTGTGCCAGCGCCACTTCGCCCCATGGGAAAATGATGGCAGCTCTACATTCCTCCTGCGCCGTGCGGCATGCAGCAACATCACCGCCGCCGTCTTTGTTCGTAGAAGCCCAGCGGTGGCTCCGCGTGTGGACTGTCGAGGAGATATGCGTGTAGGTATCCGCTGGAATCACGACACCTGCAGAGCTCTTCCAATGTTGCACAGTACCCGTTACTGATTCTCGTTGTCGTCTATCCTTCACTTGCCCTTTCTACCCTGTTCTTCCTGATTTCTCCTCTCCTCCGCTCCCAACTCCCTTGCTCCTTCCTGCCTGGTCCTTTCGTTGCCATCTTCGAGGCCACTGCAGTCTTCTACACCGCAAGAACAACGCGTCTCCACACAATTCAGATTACAGGTACTTGACTGTGTTGCAGTGCGTATACGCTGGGGAGCAATGGCCTCGTGAGATTTGACGAGTGCTCCATACACTTGACGGAAGACAGAACGACTCAAGAGACGTACAGAATACGCGCTCCACCAGATATCTCCTCCCTCGCGCACGTCTCGCTGCACACGGACGAGTAGATTGATTGGAAGTCGCCCCCGATATGCTTCTTGGGCTGGCTGGAGTGGCCGTGCTGGCACTTGCTGCTCCGATCCCACACATCTCTGCTCCGGCTGTATACATGAACACAGTAGCACCGCGAATGAAAAAAGCTACATACCTTGCGAATGTCACGAACCCAGCATTGACTCGAGACTCGTGTGGCTCTGCTCGAGTGGGTGATAGAGTGCTATGGACCTGCAGAGATACTGAGAACTATGATGTGGTTGCAAGGAAGCTTCAAGCGCTGCCAATAGTGACCAATACTGCCGCTTGGACCGACTTGAGCGTACATGGTGGCCCAAGTCTGGCAGCTGGTCCAGTGGGGGCTGCTTCAGATGGAGTGAAGCCAATATTGCTCATGTACGGGGGTGACAACTTGACCCTCCCAGCATACTTCCCCGTCCAAGAAACGCAATGTCCAGACTCGGGAGCCTGCGAAGACGGATCGCGCTATGCTGTATGGCACGATCAGCCTCCTCTGATCACACACCAGTATGCGGATGGCAGTGCCATCGCCTACACATGGATCCCGAATCAGCAATTGAAGGGCATCAACACTTGCATCACCGAGAACCCTTCCCACTCTCTCTTCAAACAAACGTATACACCATCAGCGGACATCAACGCCATGCCACATGTTGAAGTCGTGGCCCCACGCTTTTATCGCGAAAACCAGATCGGCTTCGGGCGATACGGCTCCATGATGTACAACAACACCGCCTATCTCTATGGCCAAACCTCCGACCGTCACACCGTCCTGGCACGCGTTTCCGCAGATCAGATCGAAAACCTCTCCGCATACGAATACTACCAAACCACCACTCACACCTGGATCGACACCGCTCCCGTTTTCAACACCTCCCACGAAGCCATCACTACTCCATCATCCTCGGGCACATTCGTGTCTCGCATCCCCCTCATCGCACACATCCAATCCAGCTACATCATCCCCAACGCGGGCTACGGCGGCCAAGGCACATTCTACTACAGCTCCTACTTCTCCCGCTTCATCTGGATCGGACAATCCTCCGGACTCGACGGCACTTCGGCGCACTTTTACATCACAACCGCTCCCGCGCCCGAAGGACCCTGGGAAGCTCCGACGATATTGTTTGCGGGCGAAAATGGAGATGATGCCATCGCGGCCGCGTATACGTTGCAGGCGCATCCGGCGTTGCTGCCAAGTGGACCCGAGGTGGCGAGTGAAAATGGGATTTATGTGACGTGGACGCAGCAGTGGCAGGAAGGGACGGTGGCGAGTAGGTATGTCACGCCTTTGGTGTGGTTGGAGTTTGAGTAAGTACATGTAGTAGTGGTAGTAGGACCGAAGAAAAAGCACACACACACATCACATACTGGGTATGTATGTGGAGGAAGAAGCCCAACCCAGATGGCAGCATGATATGAGGAATTTGCAATCACTGGATTCGGTCTACGATATGATATGTTAAGGTACATGTTTCTAGCTAGATATACAGTATAGAGATTATCAGCGCAGGTCGCAGCATGGATTCAGACTATGTAGGTAGGTATCACCGCAGCAGGGGCAGCAGCGATTTTGAGGATATATCGCCCGCCAAGGTACATGTACGTCCCAATGGTGGTAGGTACCTTGGGTGCAGGTACAGTATCATGTTACAGAGTACATGTAGTGCAATCTGCATTTCTCTCAGGTCATCGTGAATAAGGTAGGTACACCTGCAAAGTGATGAGAATTTGCAGTCCACAGGCATCGTCGTCAATGCATAGAGAGGTAAAGGTAGGTACCTATACTGGGGAAATGGACATGAAGAGATATTTATACATGGATCCAATAAGAAAACTACCTCTGCCCAAAACGCCGCGCTGAATCCTGCGTCGGAGGTACTGCAATCACATCACCATCCCATATGTCAGGTAGATAGGTCGGTGGTATACAGCAATCATATCCAAAGTCATATGGCATCCCATCATCATCATCATCATCATCCACTCAAGCCGAGTCCCTTTCCAAGACGACTGCCAAAACCACTCTTCTTCTCCGCCTTCTTCTGCTGTTCTTCTTTAGTCTTGAGCTTGATGTTCTGTGCACCACCTAAACGCTGTTAGAATGCTGTTCTGTGATCCAGTACGCTGTCTCGACTCACCACGCCCATACACTCGCACTTCACTCTTGGCATCAATCTTCGCTTTCTTACTTTCGCTGCTGCCACTGGCCACGCTGCGCTCGTCCGAGCCGAGAGGAGCGGTCTTGTTGTACACTAGCTGTGACTCGCTCGTATCGCTGTGCTGCGGCGTCGTTCTCGAAATCGACGGCGTCCACGTCAGACCAGCCGGCACGTCGATCGATATCTCGGTGCGTGGAGGAGACACGGGCGAGACGGGATAGCGATTGTTGCGACACGGTGTCGGGTCGCTCCTGCTGACATTGGTCAATTCGGAAGGCGCGCCGTAGTGACTGCCGACATCGTAGTAGCTCTCAAGCACACCCGCTCTGTCGGCAGAAAGACTATTAGACATGATTGCAGACTCTCTGGGACTGCCGACGCCGTTAGCGCTGCGCATGGAAGCGTCGATGTAGCTGGAGTCGTCATCACCACGGAGGCGGGCCAATTGTGTTTTTACAGAGTGGTACTCGAGCTCCATATCGGTGAAGCGTTCGAGCAGCTTCGAGTGAGACTTCTTCAGTTGCACCAGCTTCGCCCTGGTGTCGTCGAGCTCGCGAAGGGTGGCCGCGTGGGATGCTGCAGTTTCTGATCTCGTCCCGGCCGACGTAGGGGATCGGTCCAGACTGCTCCTCGGGCCAATGGACGCTTCCAGCTCATTGATGCGATCGCTGTGGATACGCCTCGTCCGCTCGAGATCTTCCTCATGTCTCTTCACCTTCATCTGTAATATCTCCTTCTCGCTGGACAGGAACTCTTGATTACGCTTGCCCTGCTCAAACTCCCACTCCCGATACTCCCACGCCTTGATTTTATGTCGGGATTCTTCCAGCTGCTGTTCCAACTGCGTCAACCTGCTCAAGTCGCGCTTCGCCATCTCCAGGTCATGCGAGGTCTTCAATTCTCGGGCTTCGGATTCGCTGAGGAGATCGCGGTAGGTCTTCATCTCAGTTCGAAGTTTGCGCAGCTCTTCTGCATCAGCAGTCCACGTTTCCTGCTCCTTTTTCAGCTTGTTGAAGCGCTCCGTCATATTGGCCTCGAGGTTGTTGGCCTGTCTGCGTGTAAGAGTCGAGTCCTTGATCGTAGCCTCGCGCGCGCTGCGAACCTGCTCCAGCTGTTGCTTGAGCACACGATTGGCATTGAGCAGGTTGAGGTGCTCTGCCTCGACAGTCGCATCTCGGACGTTCTTTCGCATCAGTTGCCCGATGTGTTGTGAAAATTGTGCCTTATGCCAGCGTTCAAAGTTGAGATCACTGCGCAGGAGAGTCAGCTCGCGTTGGAGATAGGCCAGGTTGGTGTGCGGTGTATCATGCTTGGCTCCATGAGCTTGCACATTGGTCACGCCTGTGGGCGGCGCGGGAAATTCATCCATGGGCGAGGTGGGAGATGCGCGCACTGGATCGACACCTTTACTTCGGGGCCGAAGAAGTTCAGCGCTATCTGCAGGTCCCAGCACAGGGCTGTCCGGCTCGAAGGCGGTCGACTGTGTGTCTCTCCAACTGTTGCCAGACCGGCAACTGGTGTGACTGATTGCGGGCGATACGGCGCCCGTCGTGCTTTGGGGTATGGGTGGCAGCGGGGGCAGCGGTGGGAGTTTGCCGCTCGGCGGAGGCCCCGGACTGGCGAGGGACGATCGCGTGCTGTCAATGACAAGTGCATGACAGTCAGCCACCACATCTGCAGGATCCATTTTCGGCCACTTGACATCGATGAGCTCTTCGTCGATGGTCGAGTGATAGAAGTTGGGATGCAGGAGGTGTGCTTGTCGAAATTGATCAGTCCGGCTTCGAATGACCGCTTGGTCCAGGTCGAATTCGTCGGCGCCGGGGAAATCGGTGCCCTTCAGGTACTTTCGTGGTTTGCGGATGTAGCTCATCAAGTTGAGTGGATAGAGTCCGTAGAGATAGGTGAAATATGTCTTGAGCTCCAGGGTGGTGGCTTCGACCATACCATGCCGTGGTCGAGACTTCTCCCATGTCGGGTCAATGCCTACGTCCCCATGGTCGTAGGGACTGGACGAGATGCGGTCGTCGGTCACCAAACTCTTCTGAGCATCGTCGCTCAAAGGCGAGAAGCGCTCCCAGCACAAGAGCCGACTGTAGATGAGGAAGAGCCGCGGCAGTCGCTCGGGTAGGGAACCCGGAACGTGTGGAAGCAGCATGATGAGCGATGTAAGTGCCACGGACAACACCGTGGTCGAGGTGTCGTTCATCAAGCATTTGAGCAAGGTGTCGAGGAGCGGCGTCTGAATGACCTGGTACAAGTGTGCAGCTTGGTGCTGAAGGAACGTGCTGAGCAAGGTCAACCCCTGCAACCGCGAATCCGCTTTCACCACCAAGTCATCCACGGCGTGGAAGAGGCGACGAGGCATCTTCTTTCCAAATTGCACAAGTATCGTCTCGACTTGCTGAGAGATGACGGCGACTTCGGGAGCAATACATGGATCGTCTTCATTCAAGCTGCGAGTTCGCGAGAGATAGATGTTGAGCAGATCGGCGCATATGCGTGCGGACGTGCGATCTCGCTGCAGCTGATCAGGCTCGTCTTCATCGTAGGTCATGACGCTCGTAATGAATTCCTGCGCATCTTCGACAGCGGCTTTCTTGTAGCCGGCCGCGTTGATGACTGGTCGTGCAGCCAACTGATACCACTCCAGGATGTCATCTTCACGAACCAACGCCGGTCGCAGCTCTCTCAGAACTCCCACAAAAGCGCCCAGTCTCGATGTCTGTCCCATCACGTGCCTGTTCCAGAACGACTTGAGCTCATCGTTGGCTCGAGCAGCCTCGTCGCGGTCGATTTCGCCATGATGGTCGTCGATAAAGGACTGCAGCATGCGGCGGCTGTCGGAGGGGAGACTGGGGGGAACTTTGGATGCGGTGGTGAAGTGGGTCTGGAGCGACCTCGTCACATCACGGAGGGAGCGACTGCGCGAGTCAAAGTAGTCCAGGTTAGCGAGCGGACTCGGTGGTGCTCTCCAGGAGGCGGGCCGTGGCCGTCTCAGGGCCATGAATGAGGAGGGGTCGTAGGAAAAGACGGGAAGGGGAGGGGAGAGGGGAGAGGGCGTGCATTGGGATGATTTGGGGGTCCGTCAAAGGTGGAAGAGCACGACATACCTGTTCACAGGATGATTATTGGGGCCGCCCATGGTGGACTACAGCACAGACTGGCAGCAGTATCGCTGAGGACGGGCCGAGTCGCGGGAGAGAGGAAGGCTGGCGGGTGGGCTCCTCGTGCGATCCTGACAGGCACTAGAAGAAGCGACCCGAACTGTCATACCGAGCCGTGCGGATAGCGTCGAGGCGGAGGGAGTGGGCGATGTGGTCGAGTCAGGAGGGGATGGCGGAGGTGCATATGTATGTGGGTGGGTGAGTGGGTGTATGTGAGTGAGTGAGTGAGTGAGTGAGTGGGCGAGTGAGTGTGGTCAGACAGTCAGGTACCTATGTAAGTGCTGCTTCTCGACTGGATATGAGGAGGGAATAATGTGCACAGTAGAGGTACAGCAGGATGCGGGCGCCTCTTGTGGGTTGTGGCACTGGCCGGCCCCAACCCATGTGCCTTACCAGCAGGAATGATGATATGCGCGAGCGCTGGGAGAAGAGTGGAAGATGCAGCAGGAGCAGCACCAGCACCAGCACCAGCAATAGCAGGAGAAGCAGCGGCGGCGGCGGCGGCGTGAGTGTGTGCAGATGCGTTGCGGTCGACTCCACCGGGGACCGAGCAGCCGGAGACGCGTTCGATGTACCTATTTGAGAGCAACGGCGAGGTGGAAGGGATCAGGCGTCTCGCTTCCGGCTGTGTATGGCTGTAGATAACAGGCCCGCGCATGTGCGTACGTAGGGCAGGGCTCCAATGTACTCGATGTGATGGAATATTGTCATCGGGAGGATGCGATGCTTGGTGATCGTCCGACCGAGGACAGCTGCAGCCCAGCTAGTGGAGTGTATACGAAAAAGTGTGTGGAAGTCGCAAAGTGGTCCTGGCGGCGGGAAGAAGCGCGCGCGCGCGCGAGAGAAGAAAAGAAGAGGCTCTCGCTACGCGCGCCAATGAAAGCCCAGTCGCGGGGCGGAGACTTTGCCGGAAATGTCTCACAAAATAACGTCAAAACAGCGGCCCGGCCAGGGGTTTAACCTCCTTCAGGCAATACCTAAAAAGCCCAGCTCTTCACATCCTGGATGGAGATGCGCACCGACACGGCGACACCCCACGGCTCACGGCCCACATAAGGTACCTCTAGCCCACCCACGCATTGTTGGTCTATCTCTGCACGCGGGCTCCAATGCGTCCATCACAAACCCCACAACCTCCCACAATGAACACTAAAACAACTGCTGCATCATGTCGCCGTGAGAGTGGTGCGAGTGGAAGTCATCAATGGGCAATGGTGAATGGTGAGTGGTCCATGGTCCATGGTGCATCGGCAATCGTCCATCGTCCATCGTCAATGGGGAAGCATCGAGTGCCCGTGTCTCGGAAACGTGGAAGAGGAGCACCTGCACTCCTCTTACCCGTCTGTTCCTTACTGCACTACTGCTGCCGCTGGGAAGTGCTCCCTGTCCTCACATGAACGCACGCCTTTGCTTTTCTCTTTCGTACTCATCATCACAAGGCCGTCAATGACCAGTATCCCCGCCCGAACATGTCCAGGCTAGAGCTCGCTTCCAGTCTTAGTGTCTTGGCTGCTGCCTCCAACAGACAGCTGGAGAGGAGAGGGAGGGGGAGAGAGAGAGAGAGAGAGAGAGAGGAGAGAGATGTCAACCTGGACTGGACCGATTGGCGCCTCGCATTTTGCTCTCCATGCTGGATAAATAGCTCACTGTGTGGGTATCAGACACTACGACGACGACAACGTTGTCAGCTACCTACCTAGGTATGCAAGCTTGCAAGCCTCATCTCATACTGACGCCAAGACTTCCAGGTTGATTGACGGAGCTATGCTGGACTGGAAGTCTAGAACAATATGAGGTACCCTACTACCTGGGAGGTGTATGTACAGTACGTACCTCTATAGTATGTACCTCGCTGAAGACAGATAACAGACTAGGCTACAGAGCGACGGGAGCATGGTCGTGTCAGCTGGGAACCTGGATTGAAATCAATATCCATGTTCCCTTTATCTCTCTCTGTAGTCTGTACTTTGAACGTACCGATACCGATACTGCAGACGGAGAAGAGATTCCCAGGCCCAGGGTAGGGTGGTAGGCTGCAAAGACATCTCGGATCTTGCCTGGACAAATCCGATATCCGCATCCGACAATGTTGGGGCCACTGTGCTGGGTCGCTACTGAAGTACCGGCGGCGCGATGACCTGCATAAGCTCTGGCATTGTTGCAGGGAGTGCAGTGACACCGCTTTTATACAGCACTGTACAGAAGATGTATCAGAGAGAGAATGGGAACGCCTCCAGACGCGATTGCCTAGACGGGAGGAGAAGAAGCTCAAGTCGGGTCCCTGTATCCATTCCACCGGTATCACCTTGGACCCTACGGCGGGACCCGCAACGACGCACGTGAATCCGCTTCACTATCCCAGTATACCTGAACAACTGGAATTACAGCAAGCACGGGCAGGCGGGCACTATGAGGGAAAACCTCATAAACGATCGGAACGAGCTGTAATCATTACCTCCTACGGTATCACCTGATGATTCATCCTCATCACGATTGACTCTCAACGCCGCTCTTGTACTTCTGCATCCATTGATTACATCGACAAGGATACATCCCACGCGAACAGTCGATGCGAACAGTACATACCTGATGTACTATAGGTAGATACAGTAGGTACCCACTCAACTGTTGCTTGTACGCCTCACAATAATCAGAATGCCCACAAGACACGACACTGTCTGTCTGTCAGTCAGTCTGTCAGTCTCCACTGGCAATGCCGGAAACCGCGCGTTCAATCGTCCCGACACAGCCCCGCCCGCCCGACTGCATATACGTACTATAGGTACAGTAGTGGAAAGAAAGATGCATCGGACGAGAACCGGTCCCATTGCCCTGCGCTGTGTAACCCGGGTCGGGGCTCAGATCGATTTCTCTTTCGCCGTTGCCGCGTAGCGAGACGACACATGTCCGATTCTTTCACAGAGGAGTAGAAGGTCAGGTATGTAGCGGTACGAGGTAGCGGTAGGGGGTAGGAGAGTAGTGTTGTAATCAATCAATCGTGCATCAACATCTTCTCTAGCTGAGAGTACATACTCTACCTACAGGACCTAAGGTACCTAGGTAGCTAGAGCAGGGCGCTTATATGATAGGTAACTACCTACCTAGAGTAAGGCAAGGGGAGGTAATATCGGAATGACTTGGAAGACAAGGAAGAAGGACAGAAAAAAAGAGAGGCCCTAACATCTCACGATACTACTTGCTTAACTTACGTATAATGATAGGTAGGTATTGATAATAATAATAGGTATCTTTCTATTAGATATACCTGCTCAAGAGGTAACTTGGAACTCAATTGGCTTGCCTTGTTCTATACTCTCATCCTCATCTTAGGGGTACGTATACTTTACTCTCCTTCGCCTCGAAATTTCTATCGAGCAATTTTCTTTGATCATCTGTTTAATTGTTTAATCTTTTAACAATTGTCAAATGATTCATACCTGAGTACCTCCCACGAAGTACATTACCTGATGTGTAAGCTAGCCCGTGATGTGACACCAACACCACGACAGTCTCTTGTATGTGTGCCGGCCGAAAACGATAAGCCAGCAAATGATGTGCATACCTAATGTGCGATGAGATTATCTTTTTTCTTCGTTTGTTGCTGCTACTGCCGTCCCTATCCATCTCGGTAGTTGAACCTTCTCGCGGGATTTATATATAGGGCACTTGACTGACTTGACGTTATGGCTTGCTGAACGACAGTTGGGCTGTACACTAAGTACGTGTAATGTGAGACTTCATAGCACAGCATTGATTATGTCGCTGTACTGTCGTTGGGACGCTTGCTACCTATAGTGGTAGAACGTTAAGCAAACATATGCACACCTCAGGATCAGCATCAGCTGGGTGGGGTTATTATTCATTACTGCGAGTAGTAGTGCACCAGAGACAGATACCTGTAAATTGTAATAGGTACCAGGTACATGTATTGTGCGCCTTTCATGTATTATGCTCGCCTCGCAAGTCGTCATACTTGCAAAGACGACGCGTAGATGCCAAGATGTCCGCCCGACTGCGTCGTTTCCGCTCGCCATCATCTCCTTCTCGCATACGGCGATGCGCTTCCATCTCCTCCATGCGACGTCGTCGTTCCAGCAGGAGCATCTCTTGATACTGGCGAACCGCAGCAGTGACTGCCTCGTCCGCAACGTCTGCACCACCGCCACTCCGGCGCTGCTCGCCATACCTGCGTCGAGACCGGAGCATGGATTCTACGGTAGCGCGTTTCATTGCTGCGCTCCGTGGGTCGGGATGTGGATCCGGTTGGACTAGTGCGTCTTGCTGCTGTCGCTTCTGCTCCTGCAGGTCGGTATGCCGATGTGGGTAGTCCTGTGGCGAGCCTTGACCTGTAGGCTGGAAATCGTTGGAAAGAGACGTGACTGGCGCTATCCAGCCGCTACTGCGCAGAATGTCAGTCGCCAAGGATTTTTATAGGACATGTACATCTCGCTGGCGCTCCATTGCGAAGACTGTAGATGTGGCATATGCGCAAAAGGATCGCCCAGACCGAAGAGATGGTGAACATACCTTCCGCTTGCACCAGCTCTGTTGCCTCTCCGTGGTCGATGAACAACTTGTTCCGAGCTCTGTGTCATCAATAGTTGCATCGACATGTCAAAATATGACTTGAGAGTGCTGGACTCAGACGGTCTCTGAAGAATTGCCGAGCGATTCCGTGCTTGCGATGGTAGAGCAATGCCGATGGCCACCGTACGGGACTGTAATACAATAGAGCAGAGTGGATCTCGGCGCGTACTCTCCAAACTACACGTTGCCTCAATTCCGAATCAGCACCTATGCGGAGAAGACATCGCACATGGTCGCACGGTCAAGTAGGCGGCCTTGTCACAGCTTTGGGTAGCCCTATAACAGGTAAAACTGAAGCAGACGTCCAGATCTGACCGCCGGCGCATCCGCGATCCTTCCCGTAGACTTAGAGTAGGGCAATGGCCTTACCTCTCCGAACAGTTGGGGAGCTTTGGTACGCTGCGGCGAGGGATTGGATCGTGCGCCCGGATGAAGGCTTCCCGACCGTGCAGCAAGCGAACAGTCTGCGGGCAAACGAAAGTCGAATGGGCACATGCGGTGTGTCCCTGTATACTCTGACGATGACTTGCTGAAAAGGGCTTACTAGTCCGATTGGACGCTCTGACGTTCTGCGAACAGTCCTACCTGGAACCATACTAGCAATTAGTGGCGACAAAATTGTCGGGCTCTTGGCTGTATCTCTCGAATGTTGATCTCGGACAAAAGCTGGGGTGTATTTCAGTTCTTCGCTGATGGCGGTTAGAAAGCCTACTTGAGGCGAAGGACTTATCACGAGCCCACAATCCTGCTGTAGGTCTGTTGCTCTCCCGGCGCTTCGCCCAGCCAGCCTGACATATCAATCCTGGTGGTATTCGTGTCTACAATATCTTGGCAGATTGAGCACAGCTGCCGAAGAGCGTTTGGTGCGGGCCAAGAGCTCGCCTGCGGGACGTGAGCACATGTGAAGCTCGATAGAACTGCAGTCGAGCCCTGTTAATGTAAGTTTGCCCTGGCTGTTACCGAACATAAGTGTCATGCATGCAGAAGGTAGCGTTAAAGCACCTATAGCCAGCAACGCGTTCACCATGGTACCGGTGCTGGCCTAGGATCACTTCTATGAAAACCATCCCAGTTAGTGGCTAGAGGGATTCCGCAGATAGAAGATGTAAGCCGTAACCCTAAGTGCCGATCGCACGCGTCCTGGAGCCAAGCAAACACCATCCATAGGTAACGTTCAGCATTTGCTCGAACATTGATTCTTGGTGCGTTGGGGGACTGCCTTGGAAGCTCCAGTCGAGGGATGTGTCTGGTAGGGCAGAAGGATTTTTGCAACGCCATCAACGCTTTTCCGATGCTACTCAGTGGTGGTATATGTGATATCTTGACATTAGTCCAGTGCAGAACACGGGCTCGGCCGTGAGACCATCTGACTACGGTGAGCTCCAGAATGATGAATCCGTACTCTTATACGTCCCAGCTATTTGTATCACTTGAACCATTCCTCGAAAAGACATAGGCAAGATGATTGGGAGGTTTCGTGGTGCTAGGTGTGCTCCCGTCAAAGGGATTTGAGTCCTGGGTTGATCACGAGGGTGCCACGAGGATGCTGGAGAGGAGGTCGACGATGTATGACAGCCACGTCGTGCCGTGTGTATCGTGGTTGCAGTGGTCGTATCGATTTCTCGTCACTGCCAGGCGTGTATGAAGCACTCATGTCGCGCGCCTGCTATTGCGGTGGAAGGCGTCCATCACGGTCGTCTTCTCATTGTGCGAGCATCTCAATTGTTCTTTTCTCCATGATATTGATCCATACTCCCGTTACCAGATTCTGAGAAAGAGAGGCGGAGTGCGCATTTCAATGCGATACACCACGCATATCTTACTGTCACAAGCGGCGGAGGGGGAGGGGGCGGCGGCGGACACGGGAAAGCCAAGACAGAACCTGCGGGGAAGCCGTATCGGGGTCTGTGCCACATGCTGGTGCTCGCTGACTTCACCGACGCGACGGCCATCATTCTTTACGACACGAAGGTCTACCGACAGCAACAGCAACAGCCACATCATCCACCCGAAACGATCAATCACCCCAAAATCCTCTCCGACGACGCGTGATATTGAGCTGAGTGAATTGCCACTCTCGCCAGCGTACGCTTCCGCTTCCCCTTCCGCTGCAAGTGAAGTTGCACGGCAGCAGCCACCACGACGGCCAGCATGGCAGACAGCAACACCGATTCCAAACCCGATCCAGCCGCCGCCTCGAGCTCACTTGCGCCCGATACCTCCACCTCCCCAACCGCGGCAGAAGCTCCTGCGTCAGCCACACCACCAGCTGCCACCACTGCTACTTCCACCGCACAACCTGAGTCTGGCGGCGACGACACCGCACTTGATGCACGAGAGGAGCGCGACCTCGACGCTGAAATCACCACCCAAGACACTGCCATGAGCAACACCATGGAGGCGCCCAACGATGCTGCCCCTTCGGCATCACAGTCACAATCACAATCACAATCACAGGCACAACTCCCCGCTGGCGAGCAGACCAATGGGTTGAAAGCTCCCGAGGAGCCGCGCATACCGGTCAAAAAGGACACGAGTCTGCGCGAGTTCATGGGAAAAATGGACGACTATGCTCCGCTCATACCTGACGCCGTGACCGACTACTATCTCACATTAGCTGGTCTTCCTCCACCACCTGAGACTGACCGAAGGCTTGCTCGGCTGTTGGCCCTTGCGACGCAGAAGTTCATTGCCGACATCGCGGCCGATGCATACCAATACTCCCGCATTCGTAGCACGAATACTACGTCTAACAATCCTCTTACTGGTCTGGGCGGCGCGGCTGGGTTTGGACTGCCCGCCGGAGCCGGGGATGAAGCCGCTGGAAAGGGAAAGAAGGATGCAACGGGAAAAGCGGCGCCTCTAGGAGGACCGAGAGCAGGTTATGGTGGTGGAGGCGCAAGTGGAGGTCAAGGCCGGACTGTGCTGACCATGGAAGACCTGGGGATGGCTGTCGGGGAGTATGGCGTCAACGTCAAGCGCGGGGAGTTCTATCGATAGATTCGCAACATGGTTTCTGCTTATTGGGAGAAGCCGAGTTGGCACATTACGGCGTTATGAAATGGAAATCGCATTCTCGGCCGGCGAGCCTTGAGAATGTGCACGAAGGGCGTTTTGCAAGTTTGGTGTTACTATAGGGCTACTGGAAACCCCGAGACTGCAGGATTAGCGATCAGGACATGAGTAGGTGCACATGTAACAGGAAAGCATCATGAAATACCCGCCTGTAATATGCAACTACGATCCCTTCCTACGCACACAAGAAGAAGGTTGAGGTTCACCACTGAGTCGCATGCAGAGGAGAGAGAGAGGTCACAGAGGACCCACACCAGGTCGTTTCTCCAATCAAGAGCTAACCTGGAAGTGAATAACCTCGCGTCCCTTCTACAAACCTACCTCTGCGACTGCATCCCATATCTCTCGTGCTCTCTTGGCGGCGACAATATGTCGAAAAAGACAAAACACCCATGTGGAGCGAAGGACTTGGGTATATATACCTTCGTGCCTTCTATCCAGCTCATAGACCCACCCGCACATGCATGGCGTGGAGGATCATCTTATTACCAATTGGCTGTATTCTGCCGCATCTCACACCACCTACCTACCTCAGAGAGCAGACATGACATAACAAAAGGGGCGCAGAATACCGGTGTTTCCTTATCGTGCTGAGTTAAGGGTACAGGTACCTTAAAAAATAGGGGATTCGAGGGAATGAATGTGAAGCGGGGCGATCTTCATACAAACAGCCCGCCTTGAAGTTTTTCACGAGATCCTAAGGGAGGACGGCGACGCCCTCTGAAGCCGCTGCTGGGCTCCTACGCACCCGTTCTCAGAAGGGATCTGGTCGAGGTAGGGAAGCACATAACGGGAGGAGAAACGTTACCTCAAGCGGAAGAGCACTACGATTCCCCGATGCACTCTCAACGTCGTGCCCGCCCGCTGCGAGGAGAGCAGGCCTGCACTTGGTTTTGGGTGTAGATCGCTAAGGGAAAGATGGAAGAGTGTCTTCAAGAGTAAGCACATCTTGTCCCAAAGAAGATCAACAATGAAATGACACTCGTGGATCCGACGACAGGGACGTTTTTGAGCTATGAACACAATTGATTACGAAGCATTATCCGCTATGAGAAGCAGATGCCACAGCTCTGTAGCAAGCATTCTCGCGTCTGTGATTCGGGGAGTACTGCGGTTGCAGCGATTCCGCGCCGCGAGACTCGTCCAAGCAGATCAAAAGTGATTACATCTGTACACTACTGCTTATCAATGCGTCTGGCTGCGCTCGTAATCCCTTCTTGTCATGATAGTGACGCTGCAAATGCGCTTGACAAGCTATCATGCGCACGAGGAGCCTCCAGCCGTTATAGTGCCGTTCTCCTAGACGTACTCTGGAACCAGAAAGACGTCTGCGCAGCTAGCAGGCGCCGGGTACCACGATTTCGTGTATGATGCGATGCGGAAGAACAGCTGGGGAGCGCCGTGCCACCAGTCGCAGACTATGTTGCCGAGTTAGCACACCGTAATTATCGATCAATTGCAACCACCTGCACGCAATTGCCGTTCGATTGGCCGCGACTGTTCCGGGCGGACAATAGGGCAGGTCGCTCACCGATCCAGCCACCAAAGCTGCTACTGTTCCACTGCAAGCCGGTATTGCTCATGAAGAAGCCCGAGACATCCTCTTCGCTGCCACTCACGCCCGCGTTCAGTTCCACTGGCTGCCAGGCAGCATAGAACTGCTGGTTGGGGACCATCTTCAGGCCCCAGGCGAAGTCGTTGCCAAGATCGAAGAGGAGGTTGTCGCTACCGGTGACATTCGTGGCGTTGAAGAAACCCTTTTGGATACCCTCAATGCCTGGCTGGCCTGCGGAGAAGACGACATCGTTGAGGCCAGCACCGGTGTGGTAGGAGGCCAGCCAGAGATCTGCATTTTGGTGAGTATCAGGTAGCAGGTGGCATGAGCGGCAAAGATTGCGCCTTACCATTGAATTGACTGGTTCGAGACTGCGAGTCGATCTTCAGGTAGAACTGTGGTGAAGTGATGTTCAGAGCGGCGGCGGCGAAGCCAATGGAGGCGATGAGCAGAGTGATCAAGTTCATGGCGGCGGATGACTGAATTGCTCTGGGATGTGGCGGATTGGACGGTCGAGCTGGTGGTGCAGAGAGAGGGAGAGAGGGAGGAGAGAAGAGAGAAGAAGAGAGGAGAGAGGAGAGAGGTTGAAGTAGATGCAGCTTACCTGAGGCATCGAGCAAGGAAGTAGTGCTGCCTGAGTTCTACGGAGGTCGCACTTTCCCGTTTATTGTCCTCAGACTGCAACTACGTTTACCGTACCTTCCGTACTTGGACTGGAGACACACAGAACAGCAGGAGCTCTTATGTCAGCGTCGATAAGGTAAGGAAGGTACAGACCCTGGCCCTGCTCATGTCGACCTTTCCCTTGAGCTATATACCCGACATGTGCATGACATGTAAGCCTCCATTGAGGTACCAGTACCGTAAGTATGCTTCTCTCATGCACCACCGCACTTCAACCTCTACTCTCCACTCTCCACTCTCCGGCCCGCGGTAGAAGTGAAGGTTCAAGTCATATCGGCAGCTTGCATGAGCGCGAGTGCTACCCTTGCAATAGGTATGTGCCTTGCCTTGCCTTGCTGCTACGCATTCGATTCGTTCGCGGGTCTGCCTGAGCCGAGCTACGCTGAGCTCACCAACTGATGATGGTGCTCCAGTAGTATCTTCGGCATGCTTTGAAATGAAGCACACACAGCATGGGAGTGTCTCGAAGATGTCGCCTTGAGTGGACGAGGAGTCGTCCAGAACGAAAGGTTTTGGCTGGAGGTACGGCCGCCGATCTGATCACACTGGTTTTGACGAGATCGCGCTAAACTACTCTGGGACAAGGCCCACACCACCAAATTGTCCCATTGTCCTTCTCTTCTTGCGACTCCACATTCGACTGTTGCAAACCAGAACCTGCTTCGCGTCTCGGTGATGGTGACAGTCGAGAGGGATTGTGAACCATCGAACAGCTTATGAAACGCTACGCCCGCTCCATCCTTCTGCTCGTCCTGCGCGTGAGCGACACCTGACTACCTGACGAGTTGTATATCGAGCTGCCTTTGTCAAGGTCATGAGCGCGTCGAGGAGGGTGTAAGACAGCGACGGGAAGGACATACTGGAAACAATCAAACGGAGTATAAAAGCTTGCTGTACGCAAAGCGAGCTGCAGAGAGCAGCCAATGTGGCCGTCGTGTGCAAGATGATAGGCCGGCCTATGGAGATCCAGCCCGCAGGATCGTGTAGCAATGCAAATACTGCAATCCTCAAATGAGTCACATGTGGCTGTGTTGCGTTGTGCATCGATGAGGAAGGATGCAAAACTCAGGTACCTAGGTACCTAGGTCTTCGTTGTGTTGCTCTCTATATCTACCTTGAAAAAGTGAGCAGTACTGCAGTGCTTAACAGAAACAGCGAAACTCGAGAACCAACTCTCACTCCCATTCTACAGGTGCTCAGCTCACCTGATTTCTCTCTCGCGCATAACACCAATTCACCGACGATGAGTAGATCAGGTGTCTTTTGCAGCGCATGCGCGCCCGTCTCTGAGAGCGCACCGCAACGAAGGGACCACATGCGAGATGCGTGGCAGTCAGTGGTTTGCAAAAAGTGTCCAACGTGTCAGGTACTGATATCTGGATAGTGTATCCCACGATGCCCAGCGCAGAGTCGATGCGCTACCACCAGCTCTTTTTGACGTCGACGGGCCAAAAAAGATAGCAGTACCAACTTGCAAGCACGGCACTCTTTCCCTTCCGAAGAACCTACCATCCAAGGCAGACAGTGCTGATGGTTGTGGCGATGTCGTATATGGATCGTCCGCGGCCACTGTATACTCCCATCCGATAACATTCACCGCAGGATGCGATGATCACTCAGTGACCGCGTCAGTGTCGGGACCAGCGTCAGTGTCGGGACCAACGCCCGAAGTCGTCACAGATGAATTGCACGAGGCAACCCACTGCCTGTTCTGTACACATATCGACCATGACCTCGAGCACAATCTGTCGCACATGCGACGAGCTCACGGCTTCGTCGTTCCAGACTTGAACAACTTGGCTACGGATCTCGAGAGTTTGATCACCTATCTGGGTCTTGTCATCGATGTATATCACACTTGCTTGTTCTGTGGACACGAAAAATACTCTCGGGAGGCAGTACGGGCGCATATGCTGTCCAAAGGGCACTGCCAGCTCGACTTGGCCGAGGGATCTGAGTTCCTGGACTTCTGGGCGTCTAATGAAAACCAAGCCGACGAGAAGCTTCAGAGACCTATACCGTCATTATCGAGCGATACCGAATTCCAATTGCCCTCGGGTACAATAGTTATTTCCAAGAGGACTACTTGTCGACCATCCGCGAAGCATTTCCCCATTCGGGCAAAAAGTCCTGACAGAACCCATCTAGGGTCCGGAACGAACTCGTCGTCCCGAACGTCTCGTGATTCTTGTTCAGACCTCACCTCCTCCTCCTACTCATCATCGTCTCGAAAAGATCAGATTGAGCGAGTACCTCTTGCTCCACGCGACGCTGCTGGAGTTGTCGGTCTTTCTAGTGGCCAAAGACGGACCCTCGCTGTGGCGCATCGCCGAGCCAAGACCTCGGAGGACCGAGCTACCAACAAGGCACGATGGACTCTCGAAAAGATGGGAAATAGCGTCAAGCAGAAGCACTTCAGGGTTGGTATCACAGCGCGCTTGTAGCCCTGATCATATTCTAACACGCACGTTCAGCCTGATGTCCCTGGTCCGAAGAATGGGTAGCTGAGCGACGACCACGATACTTTTGCCCGCTCGATGACGGACTCCTCGTTCGACTATCGCGATGAGACAGCTGCCTGCACCACCCACAGATGGATTGTCTCATTGAAGCTAGGGCTCTTGCTCACTATCTGCGGCATACGATACAGCTCCGCGGATGCTGCGACCAATGTGACAACAGCTTACAGGAGAGTATTATCTTACCGGAATGACCATGACTCGAGTCCACTACACGGAACGTATCGCAGTGTTCGCGAATATGGCCACAATGCAGGTCCCTCGTCGGCAAGACGGCGCTTCCAGCTCGGTTGCGATGTTGTGTGCTTTCATTGGATCGAAGCTTGTAAGCTTCGCAAAGCTCCCATCGCAATTCTCAAACATTGCTATTCTCCCGAATCCTCTCACCAAGGAACGCCTGCTTGACAAGACTGCCGAATTGTGTAACTTTCACAAACTTCTACTAGAACTTTGGGGACAGCGACTTATGCTGATAAGGTAGTCAGCACGCCATTGTCGTGGCTTGGGATCTGCAAATGACTCGACCACGGCCTGCTGAAGAAGCTAGCTGTCCGATGCCCATGAGCTCTGGAGACGGGAACTCCACTCCTTCATTGCACGAAATGGGGCTTTGGAGGCACCACAATCCATGGCGTGCCCATTGCCTATTGACGCTATCTCCTCTCGGCAGGTCGTACACAGATGAGGGGTACTCAATGGTTTCGCTGAGACTTATATATGAGATTTCACTTCCACGCTGACTCTCCCCCTCCGCAAATCCAATTCACGCGAGCTTTGCCCCCAGAATTCACAGCTATCTCTGTCTAAATCCAACCCAAGCAATCTCTCTCCCTCCTTTCGCTGCTCCGTACGATTCTCCAGTCACTCCCATCAACGGTCAAGGCAATCATGGCAGCTATCGCTACACACCCAGGCAACAACCGCTTCCTGGAAGCAGCCTACAAGCTCAAAACGGGCACCGAAGCAGAGTGCAAAGCGCTATACGAAGAATGGGCCGAGTCATACAACGACGATGTGCTCACCGGACAAGAATACGTTGGGCCAATGTTGACTGCAGCGGCAGTCAAAGCGGCCAATGGCAGAGTGGAAGGTGAATGCCTCGATGCCGGTACGGGAACTGGACTTTGTGCTGTTGCTCTGCACCAAGTCGGTGCTCGCACGATCGATGGCATTGATCTTTCCGAAGGCATGCTCAAAGTCGCCGAACGAACCAAAGTGTTTCGCAACTTGAAAGCTGTCGATTTGTCTAAGCCCATCGATATCCTTGATGGCAAGTACGATGTTGTGACCTGTGTTGGAACATTCACTCTTGGGCATGTGGGTCCTACACCGGGACTATCGGAGCTCGTGAGGGTATTGAAGAAGGGAGGGGTTTTGGCTGCGACGATTATTGATGATATCTGGGTCCCACAAGGTTTCAAGGCGGAAGTGGAGAAGTTGAGGGATGCAGGGAAAGTCGAGGTTGTGAGTACAGAGCTTGCGGATTACCGAAAGGCGTACAATGTGCGAGCACGACTGGTTGTGCTGAGGAAGAAGTAGACCTGGGGTCTTCACAACAATCGTATGGTCTTTACAGCTCAACCTTTGTAACCATCGTTTATACCCGCAGGTATAAGGAACTTGGAAGAATACCTAGGTACCTGTGTACCTGGTAACAGCATACATATCTTCCAAGAGATCTTGTTGTTGATTGGTCATCTGTTCCATGTCACTAGCGGGCAAGCGCGTAGGACATCTTCCCGAGGCATCTCATCGCGCGTCAAATCCCAATCTCGGTAGCTCGTTCAGTGGTGTGCACATCGTAAATGCGAACAATCCGCATCGTGCTGCACCTCACCTCCGTTAGCCACTGCCACTGCTCATGTCGATGGCAGTCGGCTGTAGGACTGCCGACTACCGGGTGAAGAGCGACCAACGCGCTTGCGTGAATCCATATCGTCCGCCCGCCTGTGTCCAGTTAACTTTCTGCGCCCTCTACCCCACCCTAGGAGGTATACGCTGCTTCCATCTCACACCTTCTAGCTCTACGGTCATCCATCCGGCCATTTATTTTATGAATACGCAATGTCCTCACGCGACCTAGACCTTGATCCATCACTGACCTCGACATCGACGCCGTGCCCACTGCCATCGCTGGATGTTAGCAACTTCGACGCGACGCTTGCATTCAGTAACTACCAATCGCCGCCGGGCGCAAGATCCGTCGTGCAGAGGCTCGAGAATGCCTCGCGAGAAGGCAACCTCCCAGCCGTGAAAGAAGCTTTCGCAGAGCTTCGCTGTCTGTGGCAAGGGCGAAGCGACGACATACGTACAGGGCGGACTCTGTTGTGGGCAATAGAACAAGAGCATCAGGATATTGTAGCATACCTGTTGTCCGAATACGTTCCTCCTTCATCGCATGAGGTGAGACAAGCTACTCTGACCAAGAATACGGCAATACTGCAGCTATTGTTCGAAACAGCTTGGGATATCAATCAAGCGCTTGGATGGGAAGATCCTCCAGCACTTGCGTAAGGACATATTTCTTTTAGCGGCCTTGTTCTTATAATACGATTCCCTACTTACCTACAGAGAACATCCAGATGTGCCGTTACGGACCCCGATCTCACTGCCTGGTTTTTGGCTCACGGCGCTGATCCGAATGCCAGCTCTATAATGGAAGAGACTCCATTATCTACTGCCGTTCGAGACGCACCTTTCCCTGTTATCCAGATGCTGTTTGCTCATAGCGGTAATGTCAACCAAGGCCACTTGCTTCACTCCGCTGTCTGGCGTAAGCTAGATGATCGCAAGACTGTAATGGAGTTCCTGATACGAAAAGGCGCGCCAGTGAACGCAGTCATGTACGAGGACCGGCCTGAGCTCTACCTAATGCGTAAGCCATTCGGACTTGGTACTCCTCTCCACACTGCTGCTGCTACAGGGCATGAAGACGTTCTTCAGGTACTGGTTAGCCACGGTGCACGGCTCGATATCAAGGACTCATGCGGAGACCTAGCCGTAGATATCGCAGAAGCTGAGGGCCACAGTCGTGCAGCGCAATATCTGCGCGGCCAAGCTGGTCGAGATTGCGGATCGATAGCTCGGCGGCGCCAACATCCCATGGGCTGCTTATGAGACAATTCAATTGCCGGACTCTACAATTATGTACTGGACGCGAGATACGACAGAAGCAAATATCAAATAACCTTGCGATATACGAAGTTGTCGGAATATCAACTACTGTACCTCGGAGAACCTCCCTTTTCACGATTGCTTACCAACCTGGAACTGTAAAAAGAAGTATTACAGATGGAAGAACTACCCAAAATGCGCCTTTTGGGCTTCCCTACGCTCTCCTCGCGTCGGTCTTGTGCGCAGACGAATTGCTTTCATACCTACCTCAGGTACAGGCAAGCTTCTTTCTAGACATTACGTGGTTTCACACCTGTAGCGTTATTTGCATCGGCATGCTTTGCAAGAGGACCCGCAAGAGGACCCGCAAGGGTAAGTCGACTGCAAGCCTGCCTTTGTCCCGTTACTAATAACAGCGGGACAGAGAACCTGGATCCCGTGTGAATAAAAGGGAACATCCATTTGGAAACCTACACCTGGTGGTAACGGAAATAGCGGCATCCGCATTGTCAACGTTGGAATGACGGAAGACGAAGTCCACGACGGATGCTCATTCTGAAGGGGATGATGGAGAGGCGACCATGATGGTATCCACGCTCCTCCTGACACAATCTTCGACTCCTCTCCGCAACCCTTCTCGCATATCCACCAGGGGTCGATATCCGAGTCTCTGCTTCGCTTTTTGAATCGAATAGTATCTAGTCATGCAGCTCAGCCTCACCTTCTGCCTCGTCAGTGGAGGATCTCCTAAGCGCAGCAACCAGAAAATCCAATCGAGCATGCCGGCAATTACCATTGCCCAAGGTCGAGAGATGGTCCAGATCTGTTCGGGAGTCGTCGTGTCTCCAGCATATCTCCACGCTAGACGTGTGAAGTCCCAAAAATGAATTGGCTCGTCATTGGTGATGAAGAACGCCTGGCCGTCCACTCTTTCGCCGTCGGTCGGTATGTGCGGCTGCGAGCTACATTTGATCAGTGCCGCGGCGGCAAGATGATGGGCGTGAGCTACGTTGGTGTTTTCGGTGAAGTCGAATAGATTGTCGTTGTTGCCAAGCTGGACTTTCGTTTGACCCTTGCGGTATGCCTCGATGACGCCGGGGAGAACCCACGAGTCGCCTACTCCAAAAATACCCGAGGGACGGATGGCGCAGGTGAGGAAGTGGGGATGGTCGGCGGGTCGGTTTTGAGAGAGGACATGAGTCTCTGCGACGGCCTTGGGTGGTGCTGTTAGCAAGATGGATGACGCGCAGCGTGCTCCTATGCATGTTTTACCTTGGTGTGAACGTAAAACTCCGGCTGCTGATCTCCTACAACCAGAGGGTACGACTCATCTGCTCCTCGAAGGTCGGTTTTGGCATCACTGACCACGCTTGCTGAGCTGGTGTATACGAAAGCTTTTGTGGTGGTCCTCTGGGCAACATCGATCAAGATTTTGGTGCCGTCGATGTTCACCTTCTGCATGGCACGTTTTGAGCCGTCATATCGCGGGCTCGCGCAATGAATGACCACATCGGGTTGGATTGCTTCGAACAAACGATGAACAGCGACCTCGTTCGTGAGGTCCGCAGTGTGGTACGTGACACTAGTGACCGGCTCTGGGGGCGGTCGAAGGTCGACGGAGTGGAGCTGAGAGCAGGCGCGACGTGAGGCCAGCAGAGTGAGAATCTGATTGGCAAGACCTCCACTCCCGCCTGTTATCAAGACTGTGCCTAGGGAAATGTTCAGCAGGTCTCGCTCCACGCTGAGGTCCCGTTGCGGTGGGACAGAAGTGTCGAGAGCTTTCGATTTCTCCATGACCGGGCCTGTGTCCGACGGGTGGAGGGTGAGGTTGGAGAGGAAAGGAAAGAAAAGAAAAAAAAAGAAATAGGTAGCAGCTGAAGGGAAGAAGCAGGAAACGGACGAGAAGAATGACGGGAAAGTGGAACGAGACAGAGCAAGGATGTTACACACGCTAAGCCGGTATGGGCACCTTCTGCACATCTTGCTCAGACTTCTACCTCCCATGTTCTTTCGCTAACAAGGAAGGAGCGTATCAGCAAGATCTGGAGTAATGGATGCAGGTACATGTATATGGTGGTGTTCTACCTTATGGATTGCAGGAGTTGAATGGTACAGCCACCGGACAGGTGACGTCCAGAACAATGTCTACTTGCCCGCTTCCCATACTCTCCAGACCATATCCTTCTATCCTGAGCGGCGTTGAACCTGCATTAGGGCCCGCTCGCGCCGTGGTCTGCATCATCTTGGGCGGAGCGAACTCCGGTAACTTCAACACTCCACCGTCGTGCGCTGCAATGTCATACCCCAAGGCCAAGATGACCATAGTGCCCAGGATCTCGCTGGTTGCAAAGTGACGTCCCGGACAGAGTTCCTTCCCGCCGCCAAATGGAAGGTACGCTTTTTTGCGAAGGCGTACTGTTTCGTCAGAATCGTGCGAGCTCGCTTTCTCTTTCTCCCCTCGGTCATGAGCCTAGACTAGATCTTGACTGTTGATCTTGTCCTTAGTAAGGCGATCTGCCTCAAATTCGTTAACATCATCACCCCAAATTGCTGGATCGCTATGATTCTACTTGATAGATAGCAACATGGCCGTTCCTTGCTTGAACAGATATTGCCGGGGACCTTCGCCCGCGTTTCCATCGCAGTGGATGAGGGTGTCTTGCAGAGCACGACGGCGCAATGTGCCCAGTGAAACGAGGCGCTGCGTCTCGCGAAGGACCGAGAGCAAAAGAGGACCCGTTGCGTCGATTTTGCCGACATGGACCAAGACTTTGTCCTTGCCCTCTTCTCTGGACCTTTCGCGAGTAATCACTGATGGTAACTCCTCGCGCAGTCGACCCAAAAGCGTTGGTTGGCTGAAGATGTACATGGCAGTCCAGAACATCGTAGGAACCATGTTCACGAGAGCGCCATGCAGCACGACCACGAAGGTCGCGCCGAGTTCAGTCGGGGTGTAGCCCCTCTCGCGCTGAATATTGGCCAACTGGGTGGTTGTTTCGCCTACTCCGGGGCCGATTGGGGAGGCGATAGGCTAGTCGTGTCCGGCATCAAAGTAGTCTCGCAGGGCGACAACAAGCTTCGCATGGTCTTGCTTAGATCGGCGGGCGGTAAGATCCGTGAGCGAAGCCCGGCCGCTGACGTCTCCAGCTTCGAATCCCCTACAAACTTTATCAGCGTCTCGCGCTGACTTCATCTGCTTCCGCTTCACAATTCACGCCTGGCTTACCAGTATGTATCGATAAGAGACGCATCAATGTTGAACGGATTGTTTTCTCGGCCGAAGAGAGCCGTTGTTGCTGACAGTGTCATCACGCTCCTCAGCCAGTGCCAAGTATCAGCAACAGGCACCGCATCCTCTCCGTCGGGCAGGAGCCGAGCAACCTCACTCAGTGCCACGGCATTCATATCCTCCAAAACGCGGCCATGCATCGTGCTGCTGAACGTCTGAATCACCTCTTCGTGCAAGCCCTCCGCATACGCCTTCTTCGCGCCTGGCGACAGCACATCCATGCGACTGACAAATTCCTTTGCGAATGGAGCGAAGCTGATATCCTTCTTACGAAAGGCTGCATGAACGGCCGACGGCGAGCCTATGATGTACGCTTTGCGAGTGAGCATCGGGATCGTACACACCGAGTAGCCGCTTTGCTCGCTACAGCACTTCAGTCAGCGGTCTGCCACACGAAACCCACGATGCTCCAGCAGCCTACCATATCATCGCGAGATAGTCGTGGCTGTACCACATAAGGCCTATGATGTGGCCAATAAATGGAATCGTCGGTTTGACAAGAGGAGGCTCCCTTGGGTCGAGCTCTATATCGGACAAACGCTACAGCCATAGTCCTAGTAGTACTGCGGCAGCACCAGCGGCGACGGCAAACATGACTCAGGGCTCTGAGTTTCAAAGAAGACTGAAATAGATCGCAGATATGTCTCAGTTGCTGTACCCAATTTGGAGCTTCGGATTGTAGAAGATGGCTACTGTTCATCTCGAGCGATGGACAACATATTATACTGCTCGACGCTATATGCCCAGACGCTCCTGCTTGCTATCTCGGCGCCTCGTTTGCGAGGACTCCAGCGGTCTGTCCTTGATTGACCGGTCCGAGCTGCATGTCCTATCGACGGGCGACGTATCTACAGTCTAGTCTCGCAGCCGCGCACAGCCTCTTGGTTACTTGTACGCGCCTTGCTTGCCGAGCGTAGTTGGATCGATGCACTAGGTTGCGGACTGTGGAGACTACAATCCTTCAAAGATCCTCAACAAAAAAAAAGACTAGCTGCGTACTGAATTGCTCCGTCGGGCATAAGGGCTCCCAGCGACGCACCTGTTCTTATAAGAAACTCGTCAATGCAGGCCTGCCACGTTGAAGCACTCTGAGGTTAGCATTTGACTACACTTGACATCAACGAGCTTGTGTATCGTCAGGCGCTTCGCGTGCTGCCACTTGGAGGAAGTGATCTTTATAGAGGCAGCTTTTGGAGTCAGTCAAGCAACGTTACCTATATGCTTATCAGCAAGAAAGTCTTGACACGGGCGCTAAATGCTGCGAGCGAGACAGAAACAACTACAATAGGCTCGCAAGCTCGATCATAGCTAGTCGGAGTCCTTTCCGAAAGGCACCTACTATAGTTCCCTTACTAGGCCAACAATTGGATCCATTCGTGTAAGGCTATATAACATAGACGACCTCTCTATATAGGACAGCCTCCCGTTGGTTGGGCTATCAAATCGACTGCACTCCGCTTCAACGATATGGCCGCTTACCTACGACGCTGGAAGTGGATAAATGCCAGCTGCATCAGGACACTAGGGAGGCTGTACTGAATTCAATATTCTCTACAACGACATCCCGACAATCAACCACGCCCCAAACCGCGCTCCAAACAGAGTTCTAGATTATAGCGTCTTGCCTGAAGTTGCCTCTTACATCGTGTAGAACAGAGCACTCGCCCCGCTTAGCGTGCTGTGCCGCATTCGACAGCAGATGTACGTAGCAAGCCCGGAGACCATATCGGGAAGAGGAGAAGGTCCGTCAATTGCGATACGCCTTCCCTTCTAGGTTGTCCGAGGGAGCGTCGGTATTTGGCGGTTATGCATCCTGTCCAGCTTAGGAGCCATCTTGCGTAAAGCTCGTACAAGAAGGAATCGGCAGTAAGTAGCGCGGCAGTAGGCAATGTCTTCAGCTTATGTCCTTGCCTTTACTCGGGTCTCTAGACCGGCTACCTACCATCAAAGCTATAGACTGCAATGCATCTTGAACCTTGTCTTGACTATCTACGAGCGATGACTGAAAGCTTCCCCTTCGTCTTCCTAGTCGTGTTGAGCGTAACGTTATTCGCGTGCGCTACAACAATCTTGTTGTCTAAGAATTCAGCCCAAAAGCAATTCTGGAATTCCTAGCTATAGTCTGGTCTACGTAGGACGACAGTCCTAGCAGGACTGAGCGGCAAGATCGACTCTCTGTTCAATACCCGGTTACTCGTTCACAATGGCTACAACAAGGTAGAAATCCATAGAGCTAGTGGCTTGTTGGAACTTGCACTAACGTACCGGACGATGCAGTTCTCGAAGCACAATCTCCTATTTGCTATTCCTTAGTTCAACAGCGACCCTGTACTTATCCTCCTGGCCTCGCATATCTAGGCTCTCGTCCGAAAGTCCGACGATAAGGTAGATTTACCGCTGGTAGCGGAGTTCAGCACCGCGGCGAGATATACGGGAGACTAGTACATCGTCCGCAATCCACGTCACGTCGACCTAGTGAAGCAGCAGCTTACGAGGAAATTACCGTCACTGACTGCTAGCATTACGGAAGAGCTCGCGTTAGGGTTCAACGATGAATGGAAAGGCGAGGCGACCTAATAGAGCACGGTGCCTTTGTTTTCAACATGCACCAAGATCGTGAGTCGTAGTGCCAACCGTGTCTTTTGTAGAACAGAGCTCTGTAAGTTTTGTTATATACCCAAGCCGTCTTCGGGGCTGTAGCGGTGATCAATCTGTTTCCGGCTTAGGGGAAGCTCTTAGTATCTCAGATTGTAACGCTCCCTATATAGATGCATCTCAAGGCCTGCAATCGAATCGCTGCCCCCGTTATCAAGCAGAGACTACAAGCTATCTCCGGCAGAGTAGGCGAGACACACTCGAAGGTAAGGTCAACGTAGAGGAGCCATATATCGACCCGCCGCTAACTGACGATTGGTAGCCAAACGATGCTATGCAATAGCTAATCGAGGACTGCTTCCGGCGGGGCGACAGCTTTGAACTAGACCCGACTATATTATGCCGCCGTCTACTCCGACTCAACATGGCCGCGATTCATACTACCAGCATTTCTATCACGAACGTGCTTCTTGACCTATACACTTTACCCGACGCGTCCGTAGTTGTCGAGGGTCTGCGAGGGGAGTGCAAGCGGGTGCTGTCGGCGCACGAAGGAGTCTGGAGCAAAGCAGCCATCGGCGAGCTTCACCGCGTTGATTCTACGATCAAAGAGTCTATGCGGCTCCGCAGCTTCGGCCTGATTGGTACAAACCGAGTTGTAAGCGTCCCGTAGCCAAACGTTTCAGTACAGAATAGGAGAGATATATACGAGACTTACTTATTGCTAGGTTACTTACGAGAATAGTATCAGGTTCGGCGACGGCACACCAATTCCAGCTGGCGTGCGAATTGCAACGCCTATCGATGCTATCTACCGTAACTCCCAGTTCTACCGGGCGCCGGACGACTTCTATACCTTTCGGTTCTCTGAACAGATCGAGACTAAAGTCACGCTAGTATTGACCAAGAAGCATCATGATACTTGCGGAGACAGTGCCGCAGGAGGCATCTTGGCCAACAGAGAACACGCCCTCGTAACTACTTCCGATACATTTCTCGTGTTTGGTTACGGTCGACATGTATGCCCGGGTCGATTCTTCGCATCGTAGGAGATGAAGCTGATGCTCGCTCACGTCGTTATGCATTACGATTTGCGTATAGAAGGTCCGCGGCCAAAGAATACCGATCTAGGCATTGCGTCTTTACCAAGTCAAAAGGTCAAGATCCAGATAAGGAAGATAGTGTAATTGGTACGGAACTAGAGAGCTCTAAATATACTAAGACTTTAGTCTTCGTTCTATAATCTTTATTCTATAATCTTCGTTCTATAATCTTTATTCTATAATCTTCGTTCTATAATCTTCGTTCTATAATCTTCGTTCTATAATCTTCGTTCTATAATCTTCGTTCTATAATCTTCGTTCTAAAAACATCAATCTTGGACCTATCTAATAGGATATCTAGAGAGCTATAGTTTGCTATAGTTCCCTACTCTAGTTAGGCTTAGCGTAGCCTAGGCAGCTATAGCCTCTAATCTCTATCTATACTCTCTACCATCTAAATTTCTATATTCCCGCTTACTCTTACTCTTATATTGTCTTATTGTATTAATACTATAACAAGGCATTATATTCTAGACTTAACTATTTAAAGGTCGGCTCTCTAGCCTACTATTACGATCGTTACTCTATCTTATTGTTATGTTTTAATCTTGTATTATCCTATTATAGGGAATTATATATAGCAAGAGCAAAAATTCTAAATAGCGGGAGGTCAAATTTGCCTAAGGCATCTTTTGGCTTGCCTATAGTAGTAGGACGTACTGCCGACAGGTAGTCTGCCTGTCTATTGCAGTGTCTATTGCGCCGTATCTATCGTACTTTGTCTATTGCGCCGTGTCTATTCCGCCGTGTCTATTGCTATATCTATTGCTATGTCTATTGCCGTATCTATTTCTCAATTGCCTACCAGCCCTACCTAGCAGGTAGGCCTCGTCATAGGTTGGGTTGGGTATGGGTTGGGTACAACCCAACGTTAATACCCAACCCCGCAAATAAGGTAGGTACCTAGCTTATAAGCTGGGTACAACCCAACGGAAAAAACCCAATAGGTATACCCAATAGGTATTGCGATAGGTATTACGTAAAACCTCTTCTAGATATAGAATAAACATAGTAAGCGCTTCTGGAACAGTAATAAGCCTCGTATATACCGTACTGCCTGAACTCGCTAACAATAGCTGCCGACCATGCCTACCGACTACGAGAATTGGGAAAAAGCAAATTAATTCAGGAGTTTACGGTAAGTACTTCGACATCTCCTTCTATAGCTAATAATACCTGCCGACTATACCTGCCGACCACGAAAATTAGAAAAACTAAATCACTTCAGATCTCAGGCTTATAGTAAATACTTTAACATCTCCTTCTCTAGCCTAGCTAGAACGCGTATCCAGTGTTTAAACCGACTTTCGGTTACTATATGCTGCTGCCTTACTCTCCAGGCCTTACGTATCTCTATTCTTCGCTAGGCCGCTTGGAAAGCCGGCTCCGTCCTTATTAATAATAGGGTCCTTAAACAAGTAGCTCCAAGGATAAAGCGAGCTGAAATTTCTGTCTCTAGTCTGTCTCGTTCGGTAATAGGCTCTTCTATAAGTATACTTAGTATCTTGTCGATACTTCCCCTAGCTACGAATTCTTACGTACCCCGATTATTCGCTTAATCTATAGCCACCGTATACGCTGCCCTTGCTATATCCTCTAATTCTGTCATCTCCTCGTCAAACTCCTGCTGCGACTCCTCTTCTTCATCCTCTCTCTCTACATCTGGTCGACTCTCCTAGAGAGAATTAGGACCCGTCTCCTCCAAATCTGGATAATCGAAAGGATTGTAGTCTTAGCTAAGCGAGATATCTTGATCCTAGGTACCTATATCCTCGTCGCTATACTGAAAATCTGCTTAACTGAGCGGTATACCTAGTTACCTAAAAGGAAAATCTAAATTCTCGAAAGCTATCTCCTCGTCTTCTTCTTCTTAAGTATTAACATAATCGAGGAGAGCCTGGAGATATTTATCCTCTGTCGTTAGGGGTACCGTATTATCGTCCTGAGCATTCTCCTTATTAGCTAGAGGATAACCAGTTTGAACGCTAGGATCAGTATCTGGATCGTATTCCGAGCTCTTATCACCGCTCGAAATTACGATAGTCGCCTGCTTCTCACCGTCTGAATCGTTTAAACCCCTATTATCCTAATCGGCGCTAGGAGGATCTTAATCGTTCCCGTCTGTCTGGCCACCAGTATCTATATTATCCTGATCGGCGCTAGGAGGATCTTGATCGTTCCCGTCTGTCTGGCCACCAGTATCTGTATTATCCTAATCGGTGCTAGGAGGATCTTGATTGTTACCGTCTGTCTAGCTACCGGTGTCGCTATTATCCTAATCGGTGCTAGGAGGATCTTGATTGTTCCCGTCTGTCTGGCCACCGGTGTCGCTATTATCCTGATCGGTGCTAGGAGGATCTTGATAATTGGCGTCTGTCTGGCTACTAGTACCGGTTTGAGTACCCGTTTAAGCGCTAGGGTTATCGGGATCATCTGAGCTCTCGTCTTCGCTTAAGGACGCGGGAGTCTTCTTTCTCTTCTTCGCAGTCGGCTTCTTTAGAGTTAGCTTCGATTTCGTCTTCTTCGTCTTTAATCGAGGCTTATATATCGTACTCGGGTTAACTGGGCCAGAGCTATAGGGAGCAACTACGTAATTGTCTAGCCAGATATTCCACTCCTTTAACAGCCTACGAAGACATTCGAGATCTTTCGCTATTACTGTAACTCGCTTGTAGTAGATAGCGAGAAGATTAGCTAACGAAAAGACTTTCGTTACTATACTCTCGCACTGTTCCTAGAGGATGCCGAGTACGCTCGCTTGGATCCGTATAGGGAGGTAGTCTTCGGTAAAAAGGATAATAGCATCCCTAACGATACGTACGAACGCGAGCTTTAGGATATAGTTTATAACCTCCGTCTGGCATTTTTTGATCTCCTACAAAGCTCCCTCTAAAAGAAATGTTAGTACATGCCGACCACATGTGCCGACTACGTCTGCCGACCAGGTATACTTACTGCCTCTCTTTTTTTGATTTTTCTTCACACCTGCGGATAGAAGCCCTTTCCTACCCGTTGCGCTAGGGAGTCTCTTTCCAGATGTTCGTAGTACCTTTCTAGCGATTGAAAGCTTGCGGCGCGCTGCGAGTGACGGCGCTATAACGATAGCAGTAGTAGGCGGTATAGCAGGCAGAGCAGTAGGCGGAGCAGCAGGCAGAGCAGCAGGCAGAGTAGCAGGCGGAGGCTAGGAGGGGTTGTAGCGGGTAGGGGGCGGGGGGGGAGGGGGGGGGGTCAACAACCAATGTTAATGTCGTAAGTTAGGTTTTTTTAGAAGTGGGGAATACCTTTGAAGGCGGCGGAATTCAGGGTCTAGGGGCGCGACCAATCAGAAGCGAGGGATTCTTTGTCTACGTAGGGTAGGCACCTGCCGTTTTTGGACAATGGAAGTGAGAAATAGTAAAGTGAGATCGCCGGAAATGGGAAATATTGATATAACGACCGTATAAGCAGTGCCTAGCCCGTGAACAAGAGACCTAGAGATTTATATAGATATGATTAGTACGGGAGACAACATCTTACGGAAGCTCGTTTTCGGGTTATCTTACACATCTGGTACTAATTCTTTAAGTACTAGCCTCGAAAACGATGTTAGGAGTGTATAGTCGGCAGACGTGGTCGGCGCATTGCTGTAAGATCAAAGCTCGGCACTTGAATTCGCTTCTCCTGCGAAGCGCTTCCGAATCCAGCGACAAAGTTTCATATCCTTCTGTTGTAAGGTTACCCGTTTTGCGTGAATCGCCAGCATATTAGAGACTTCGAACTCCTATATAAGAAAAGCTTCCGTTGCTTCCTGCAAGCAAAGTAGAGCCTTAGCTTGAAAACGGTATATACTATTGCTAGTATTGGTTGCCAAATCTATCGTAATCTCTCGACAAATCCTTGAGAATGGAAGTCGGCGTATTAAAAGCTCCGTAGACTTCTGGTATTTCCTGATTTCTCGGAGAGCGGCTACACCAGCCTTCGTTCGTCTTCTCGCTTTAGGCGCCTTTCGAACAACAGGCTTTTTCTATAGTCGTTGACTTCCTAGTAGTCTCTTATTACTAGGATAGGTCTTCTGTGCCACTTTTTTCGTACGTCCTAGTCTCCTTGCGGCGAGACTTGGTCGAGGGGAAGCTGTATTAGAGAGCTGTCGGTCTGATCCATTATAGATAATATGTGGCCCCTTTGGTTGAACCGATACTACCACGTCTCGACTACGCCGCTTGGTCGGCAGGTCTGAATCTTCGTTCGTCTCATTATTATTAACTTGACCTGTACCTCTATCTGCCTGCCTCTCCTCCGTCTGCCTCTCCTCCGTCTGCCTCTCCTCCGTCGGCTTAACCGTCTGATCTAACTACTGTCGAGTCCTCTTATTACTTCCGCTATCGTAGGCAGCCTTCGGGAGTGCTTTAGCCTTCGTTTCTTTTTGACGCGGACTATCTCTTCTTTCCTGGTCGTCGTCGTCGTCAGGAAGAGAGGAAGAGACGTAGGAAGAGAGAGATTGTGTGTCTATGTTAGGCATTTTGAGAGTTTCGACTTGGTAGGAATATATAGGATAAGAAAAAAGCAAGAGAGGATAAGTTGGTAGGTATAAGGAAGACCCGGAAATCGCCAAGCCGCTTATCTCTCGAGTATGTCGGATCGCGCGGGAAGGTAATTAGTAATCAGGACAGGGGTTCTATATATATCTACACTAGTATATTTCATATTATGTCATATGGTTTATACGCCGACCACGTCTGCCGAACACGTTCTACTCTAGCTACGAGATTTCACTTTTTTTACTAGAAAGTACTACGATACCTTAAGAAGCTAGTAGTCCAACTATTTCTCTAGATAATGTAGTATTTATATATAATACCCTATAGCAGTTGTCCTAGTAATGGCGAATGAAGCGACAACAACTTATATTCGAAATAAAATTTAGGTAGGGGGGGGGGCACCTTAGGAAATCGACGA